AAATACATTAGAAAAAAGAAAAATATGTAAAAACAAATAAAATTTCTTAAAAAAATTAATATCTATCTACAATATTTACATTTGCCCAGGGAACTCCAAGCCAAGCTTGTCCTTGTCCTTCACATGTGGAAGGCAAAGCAGGACTCCAGGAGATCCCAGTGTCTCTCTTCTAGCCACGTCAGTGGTATTGGAAACTAGTGGGGACTAAAAGAGGGCACTTGAGCCACAGACATTCAGGACTTTAGTGAAGAAGCTGATCGTTGCCAGGACTCCAAAAGCATATTTACTAGAGATCTTGGGATGTTCTAGTTTCCACAAAACTTCCATTAAAATCCTTAATGGTCCAAAGTAATTTGAAGCTTCTTAATTATAGAAGTTTTCTCAGAAAACCTAATTTCTCCTGTAGAAAGTTTATGTTCTGTAAACTCACCACAAAATAAGTCATGATATATTTTGAGCAAACAATTATTCATAACACAATAAAAAAAAAAAAAAATGTAACCTTATTTTTCTAACCAAATAATTTTTTATACATATGACAGATAGGAAAATTCTCACCCATTTCAATGTTATCATCAGATTTCATAAAATATTATTTTGGAAGAAACAGCAGTATTTTTATCATCCTCATAACACTCTGTTTTCATCTTTCCCATCATTAAAAAAAGTACTAAAATCATTATAAAATGCCAATACCCCATCCTTGATTCAAACCATGTTATCCTAGAACAACAATATGATTTCCAAACATCTCTCTATGATCCAACATTATCATCTTGTGGACATTGCTTCCTCAACATGTGATCATGGAATGTACTGCATAGGTTTCTTTCTTAGCACGAAAAGGCTTATGATGCTTAAAACATATTTGCTCATTATCTGGTCCTATCTCAATGGTAGAATACTCAAAGTGAATTATAACTTCCAATTTTTCACCTTTTTTTTCATTTGTTGGTACTCCTCTAGATAGTATCTTGAGTCTCATCCTGTTAAAGGTTTATGCAGCTGATATCCTCATCATGTACAAAAAACGTGTAATATCAGTAAATAATAACCAATTTAAGACATATTACCCAATCCCTAATTATCCCTCCCTTTATTACCTCTAAACTATCAGGAAAGAAGATGGACTATGAACCTCATAATAATATAAACAGTCATTTTGTATCTATCAGTGAGTATTTCCTTCACATTTCATTTCTATCACATAGCACATTTATTTTTTGAATCTTTGTTACAATTCTTAATCCCAATAAACTAATTAAATAAATTACATTAATTATAATTCAATGTTATACCTCTCTAAGCTAAGTTTGTCATTCTCAAACTATTTCAATCAAAAATTGTGTTAATGTAGAATTAATTATAAATCAGTTATTCTTTAACTATTAATTAGTCAAAATTACAATATTTAATTCATTCTCTCAATGCTGCTGATTGACAGTACCATTAAACCCATATTACATTCATTATAAAAAAAAAACTTGAAACATATCTTTCAAACACTCATTCGTTTTATAATATAATTTTTCTTCATGAAAATGTAAGTAGTAAATACAAATAAAAATGAAAACATTCATTTAAAAGAATTGCTGGAATTCTCCAAAATGAGTTTAGATTCTCTTAAATGAACGTTTTCATTTTTATTTGTATTTACATTTTCATGAAGGCAAATTATATTATAAAACGAATGAGTGTTTGAAAGAAATGTTTTAAGTTTTTTTTTATAATGAATGTAATAGGGGTTTAATGGTACTGCCAATCAGCAGCATTGAGGGAATGAATTAGATCTTGTAATTTTGACTAATTAATAGTTATTGAATGACTGATTTATAATTAATTATACATTAAAACAATTTTGGATTGCAATAGTTTGAGAATGAAAAACTTAGCTTAGAGTGGTATAACATCAAATTATAATTAATGTAATTTATTTATTTAGTTTATTGAGATTGAGAATTGTAACAAACATTAAAAAAATAAATGTGCTATGTGATAGAAATGAAATGTGAAGGAAATACCCACTGATAGATACAAATTGACTGTTTATATTATTAGGATGTTCGTAGTCCATCTTCTTTCCTGATAGTTTAGAGGTAATAAAGGGAGGGATAATTAGGGATTGGGTAATATGTCTCAAATTGGTTATTATTTACTGATATTACACGTTTTTAGTACATGATGAGGATATCAGCTGCATAAACCTTTAACAGGATGAGACTCAAGATACTATCTAGAGGAGTACCAACAAATGAAAATAAAAAGTGAAAAATTGGAAGTTATAATTCACTTTGAGTATTCTGCTATTGAGATAGGACCATATAATGAGAAAATATGTCTTAAGTATCTTAAGCCTTTTCGTGTTAAGAAAGAAACCTATGCAGTAAATTCCATGATCACATGTGAAGGAGACACTAAAGATTTTAGGAAAATAATATAAATATGTGTGTGTGTCTAAACTTTATTTTATCTTTTTGTTTACCTTTTATTCCTTTTTGAGTACATATTTTTTCATAATGATCCTTGTTAGTTTGTTTAAATTGGCTATATCCCATAATTAACTTTTCCTTATATTCTATTTCTTATCGATTCTTACCATTCTATAGTAATTTAAGTAGTTATTTTCAGTTTTCCCTGTAGTTTTATAGCTTTAAAAAAAATTAAATAAGTAATATTGATTTATATAAGATTTAATTATTAATTTGCAGGATATTTAACTTTTTATGATAATACCATTGATTAATATTGTATTTATAATTATATATAATAACATACTTGAAGTAAGTTATACTGTAAATTCTTGAATAATTATTCAAATATTTTTTTTTTAATAGTTCGTATTAATAATGATTAAAGAAAAATAAATGTATACATTATTAATTAAGTGATAACTGTGCTGTGATATCTTTAACCACAAATTTACTCTAATTACCCTTTTTTTTTATTCTTTAACACTTCAAATGGTTTTTTATGGTCACTCAGATTTTCATAAATGATTAAAGAATTTAATCAAATAGCTTTTATTCAAATCTTGGTTTATATCCTATTATATATATAATTTCTCTCAATAGTAAGCCAATTTTTAAAATGTTTTGTATTTTATTTGATTCATGATATATTTTCATTAATTTATTATTAATTTTAACAGTGCATAATTTAGAACTTATATATACCAGGAAATCAAATTTTTAGCTTATTTAACATCATTACTTCAATATATGAAATCTATTCCTTAGTTAGTTCTTAAATGAGACTCATTGCAGTCAAAGCAAGCCATAGTTGAAACCAATCCAGGGTTTTATATACACAGATGACATTTCTTTTTGAAAAAAATTATCATACTTGTTGAAATTCCATCCATATATACTGCTCAAAAACGAATAGAGATATTTCTATTTGATTCATTTTAATTAAAATACCCTATTTTTTTGTTGTTTGGGATTCTCCTATTTGTTGTTAAACATCAAATATTTTTTATTTTTAATAAATTATTAACTAAAGGATAGTCAACATGAAGAATACTTACACTTATTGTGTAAACCAACAGTTGTTTTAGACTTTTCTGAAGTTTAATCCTGCAATATTCTGTTCAGCGATAAAAAGACATCATACTGAACCATAAGTTCACTATATTATCCTGAGAATGAACGGTCAAGGCCACAGGCAAGTAGATAACGTCAATGCAGTTGGCGTCTCCCACGTTGTGATGGCCTGGGCTTTACCGAGATTCAGAAAAAGGGGAAGTTCCAATAGGAGCATTGTCAGTGAATCTCAGTACATTACGACTCCAAGAGATGACAGACATATTTTTAATACTGCAAGAAGCAACCCTTTTCATAATGTCCCCGAATGAGCCTAAATGAAGTGTCTAATGTTCTGCCAAGGCCCATATAAACTCAAACCATTCGTAATTGTTTGTGAGAAGTTGGTCTAATATTTTATGCTCTTTTAAGATGACCTGTAGCAACAGTGTATCGCTGGCAACTCCGCAGATTATGTTATAGCGAGCGACTGGATAGAGAAATGCTATTATGTTTACAGATGCATTTCTGTATTTACATCGATAGTAGATAAGAGTACACTGCTACAGATTATACTTTTTTCAATGCTACCTGGAGGTGGGAGTGTGATGGTCATCTACTCAGGAGGAAGAACTCTATTCCATACTGTTGATTGTAATCTCATTGCAGTTTGTTATGTTCAAGAAATTATAGAGGAATACATTCCTCACACCAGGGCCATAATTGGCACAGATTTCCATTTTCTTGATGACAATATGTGAGCTCATAGGTGAAAAGTGTTTTATCAGTGTCTTGAAAATCTAAGAATTTCACATCTGCCCCTTTCTGTATTGTCTCCAGATCTCAATCCCTTTGAGCACTTGTTGAATGCCTTGCAGAGAAGGCTTTCTGACCACCATATACAGCTTTTAAACCTTCTGCAACTGAGAGTCATATTATCATGTTTATGATATTAAATTCCTTGTGAAATGAGTGGCATGATAAACAGTATGAACATAACAGAAGATATCTCACAAATTATTAAATTTTACAAAATTCTTACAATTCACAGTTATAAAAACAAAATCACATAACCACAGTTTTATTATTTTTAACATTTTTTGCAAAATTTCCCAAGGTCAAGTACAATCTTGTTTGTAATAATTTTCAATTATTTTATAATAAAAATAAAATTTTAAAAAATCTAGAGAAAATAAATCATAAATAACTAGCAATATCCCTATTCATTTTTGAGCAGTATATAATAAATACCCAATTCAAATTAGTATTCATGATTACTTTAAAAGTGAACCACTTGAGAGGAAAATGGAATCAAAATTACATTACTATGTTAGTTCAACAAATAATATTTTATAATTTTGATTTGATCTCAATCATCAGCCAAGTTACTCTTTTTATTGTAACTTCTTTATTAAGTAATAATACAATTTATGTTACTATTTTCTTTAAATAAGCTATAATTAATATTGTTTTTTAAAGGGAAAATTCATGAGGTGTACTGATGGTTCAAAAATGACAAAAGATGAGTGCAGGTTTGTTTCAGTATAAATCATTATTAAAAATATAATTTAACCATAGATTACTAAACATGTTTATGAGGCACATAATCATTAACATTTGTCTGTCTGACTACAACTTTAAAAATGCTTGATATTTCATTTTTAAAAGATAATGGAATAAAAAATAATATGCATATATTTCTGAAGGTGACACATAATTTATTTTAAAAACAATGTATCTAACACATTTTAATAACACATATGTTTATATAACACTCTTCATACTTCACTTCCTACAAGCATTGACAGTAATATTGTGGTTTCCTTTTTTAAGATTTAAAACAAAGGTATTTTTCCATACCTAGAGGACCTACAAATGCTTCAGATGAAAAATATTTAATCCTGGCATTATTAGGACTTTCAACAAATTACTTAAAGTTTGTATTCTTTATAAGATGTTCTATCTAATTATCTTTATGAAGATAAGGTTATTAATGATGACAAATTTTGAAACACTATAATATATATAATAGCCAGTTTGTATTTTCAAGCACAGTTCATGGTAATACAGATTTGACCAAGAATATCCACAGCCCTCTTTGTCCACAGCCTCAATTTACCTCTTAAAAGTTGGAAATGGGACAATAATCTCAGAAGAAAATGGATTTTGTCTAGTCAGATTTTGTAGAAAAAAAGCCAGATATGTTTGATAAAAATAATTAATTTTCATAATAGAGAAAAGTAGAATATATTGTAAACCTTTTCTATAAGTGGTTTTGTGCATTTTGTTTTTGTAGAATTTATCAATCAACTAAGTTTTGTAATTCTTCAAAATCGTTTATTGTGTGCTACTAAAGTGGCTATTTAAATTAAATGTTTATGATATATAATTTTATCATAAGAGGAACAACAGTAATTATTATTATTATATACATATTTTAATATAGCTACTAATATATCAGTGCATTATGTATAGAATCAATGAAAATATACAGCATACCCCTCTAAACATACAGTAGGTCCCAGAATGGTCTTGTAAACTAAAAGTGTGTTGTCAATTAAAAGATGAGATATTCTATTCAGTAGTTTAGATAATCAGTCATACAGTCAATTAAGCTCTTGTTGAGTTCCTGTTAGTATGTTTTTTAACAGAATGTTACCAGACTGTTGAAAAATGAAGCAATAAGGAGTTAAATGGATAGGATTTTCATCAGAATGTAATAGTGACATATTTGCATTTTGATGCACCAATTATTGCACCATTGTTTAATCAGAGGGAGTGTTTTTATAGATTTGAAGAAGTTATTTCAGGATCTGAATGATGCTGTCATCAGAAAATGTAGCCAGGAAGGTACCAGGGTGTGTAAGAATATATACAGTGAAAAGAATATATACAGTATCCAAGATGTTTCTTTGTGAAATACCATCCTCTTCTGGGAAAACAGAATATTCTATGCGGTATTAAACAGCAAGCCATTATGCCAGAATACCTGTTTGAAAGCTTGAATTATGTGCAGAAATGGGCCAGTGTAATATTGATTATTTTCATGGACAAAAGATAATATGGCCAACAACATGAAGGTCTTGTTTAATAGCAAACAATTTTCTGAGTAAAATCTGTATTGGGAATGAATGTGTTGGATGGGTGTTTGGCAAATTCTTCTACTCTGTTCTCCTTTGATGGAATCCAGGAATCATCATCAGTTATGAAGGATTGTGAAACAGTGGTATATTAGGATTTTGTTTTAGCTATTCTCCAGAGGTAGTTATCACAAACAAATTTTAGGATTGGGATCTAAATGTACTTATTTACCATTTTGGAAAAGTAGACATATAATTTTTAATCAGAATAGATTGTTCTTTGTCAAAGGATCTAGAACTTCATTTGGAATGAATAAAGTTTATAAAGTCTTGTGGCTAAGGATTCTGCTAGTGATAATTCAAGGGAGAAAGAGATGAGGATGCCGTCCAAATTGTTTACTGGATCAAATTAGTATAGGAATTCATAGCATCATCTAGGTCTTGAGAGGTATTTAGGAATACTTTGATTTCTATTGAATCAGTAAGTATTTGGGGTAAAAGCTTCCAGTTTACTGGCCCCGTGATAAAAGAAAGCGGATATGATTTGAAATTTATTTGGCATTGTGATTACAGGAAGTAGGCTATGGTCTGAGGAATGTTCATTGAGCCTTGAAATAGAATAACATCACTGAAACAGAGTAATTAGCCCCTGATCTGAAAAAATTAGGTGAAGGTTAAGATAGGTTGACCAGTTCATAGGAAAAGCAGTGGGATGTGTTGTTATGTTGGGAATTCAGTGCAGACAATATTCCTCAACAGGAATTTGTGGTTTTGGCCTTTTTTAGACCCTTCTGAATTCTGACACATTTATTGTATAGGTCCAGAACACTGAAAATAATGATCTTGGTTCCTCAGGAAATTAATCAATATCCAGTAAAAAGTTGTATTAATGTATTCATAATAAGCGGGAACAAATATAGCTAGAAAGCTTTATTTCTTAGCACCATTAGAAGAATTAGGAATTATTTTCCAAAAAAATCTGAAATAGTCTGTCAGACGAGTGTTCAGTGCCCTGAGGTTAAAGAATGTGATACAAGTTTTATATGATATTTTTTAAATTATTGTATTGAAATATTTTATTTTCAGAGGAACATTTATTGTATTTGAAAATGGAGATTTTACTAAACCCAGTGTGATGGAAAGAACATGGGAAAATAATAGATTTCATTTTGACAATGTTGCAGAAGCAATGCTGACTTTGTTTACTGTTTCCACATTTGAAGGTTGGCCAGGGTAAGACAACTGATTAAATTTCTTTACTATAACTCAATTTTTTAATAATATTTTAAAAGAAATTATCTTACTTATTGCAAATTAAAACTTTTTTCTTTCTTACAGTTTATTGTATGTGTCAATTGATTCCAATGCTGAAGATCGTGGACCTATTCATAATTTTAGACCAATAGTTGCTGCATATTACATAATATATATCATAATCATAGCCTTTTTTATGGTTAATATATTTGTAGGTTTTGTTATTGTTACATTCCAAAATGAAGGTGAACAAGAATATAAAAATTGTGAACTTGACAAAAATCAAGTAAGTTTACTTGGCATTTTAATATTTTCAGTTTATTATTTATTATAATTAATGTTTATTTTAATCAAATTATGATTGACATTATTAATATAAACATTTTTTTTAATGGCTTTGGTGATACTTATGATAAAATTGGAACAATCTAAGATTGTTAAAAAGTCTAAATACATAGTTTTAAAATTAGCTAATAATCAAATATTTTTTAAAACTTCATTAAAATTGAACATTTATATCCCCTCTTTCTCTTTCTTTGTTTTTTTATATTTATGTATTGTTTAATCTTATGATCATAAAATTGTCATCACACAGTCTTTTTTTTTATAGAGAAATTGTATAGAGTTTGCATTAAAGGCGAAACCAGTCAGAAGATACATTCCAAAACATAGATTTCAGTACAAAGTTTGGTGGTTTGTTACTTCGCAGCCTTTTGAATATACAATATTTACTTTGATTATGATAAATACAGTAACTCTTGCTGTGAAATTCCACCAACAACCTGAAATGTACACAAAAGTGCTTGATGTTTTAAACATTGTATTTAGTGTGGTTTTCGCAATGGAATTCCTATTTAAACTTGCTGCATTTAGATTTAAGGTAATTTAAACTTTTTTTTATCAATATACATATTTAGTAGAAGTTTATGTGTGTGACTGTAAAGATGATTTCGTGGTTAAAAGAAATCCTTCTGTTCTTTGGAACTAATCCATTTACCAAATCATTTTTTTTTCATAATCACCATACACATAAACTTTAAAATATTTATTTATCTATATAAAATATGGAGAGTATTAACAAAATATTTTATATTTCAAGAGTGTGAAGAATGAAAGCTCATGTATTTTTTCGTTTCTCTATTAGTCTTTTTTTTTTAAAGAAATATGCTTTTGCCCAATCATACATATTTTCTTATTAATCTAAAGATTAGTTATTGTAATACATCAAGTTTCATATACAACATTATCGTTTTAATTTAAGAATAAAAAAATAATTGAAAAGTTGTAGTGTTTTATTATTTATAAAATTTAATTATTAATTTCTTATTAAATTGGAAAATTTTTTTGGTGTATTTTACTTGAAGTCCTAACATAATTAGTTGGATGTTAGTCAAACTTTCCTTAGGATCAATTTATGTAAGCAAGCAGGAACCCAGATTTTGATTCTGTTAGTTTTGATTAATAATCTAGCACTATAAATGCTTGGCTACTTATGCTGTCACTCTGATTCAACAAATGAGTTTTTTTATTGGATAATCCCCTACCCACCATTTCTGGCATACGGGGAGGGGAGGGAGGGAGGGGATTGTTGTAGAGGTACAGCCAAACCTATTCTAACCAGAGTGGGAGGGCCGAGTTTCATTCCGTGGGTCCGCCACGAAATAAAAGTCAACCCCTCCCAGGCCAGATTCGAACCAGCGTTGCTAGGTATGAGGATGCAAGAACGGGCAACGCTCCAACACAATCGGCCATCATGACCTCCAAATCAACAAATGAGTTGACATCAATGGCGGATCCACGAGTTTTCTCACCTGCTTCCCCCACTCCTACCCATTCTTCCACCACTGTCCATCTCCCCCTTCCACTTCTTAGCTGAGTTTACCAAGCTAGAGTGTTCATACAAACACACAGACTATTTTGCGATGCTTGGTTTTTTTGACTGAGGGACCCTTAAAACGTGTATTTCCATTTAAAACTTGAGTTCAAAAATTTTCACAATCTCAATACTTTCCCTTACTCCATGTTTCATACATAGGTAATTGAAGTTAAAAAATAATTGGGCTACAATAAGCAACATTATATTGTAAGATTTAATCAAAAGTGTGTCGAACAACAGATGGAATCAAAAGTATAGAAATAAAAATTAACAAATATAAATAGTAACTTAACAATTACCTATGGTTAATGACTAGTCTAGCAACAAGAACTGAGTGGTGTGATATGGATTAGGGTAAGAGGAGAGAAAGGGAGGGAAGCATGGTAATGGTCATCTAACAGCAATTTTAAAGAAAATATTAAAATAAGAGTTTTAAAACTAAATATAAATGTTAAACTAAAGTAATGGGTAAGTTAAAAGCCTAAAAAATACATAAGTATGTAAGTAAAGACAAATTGCATTACCACATATTTGTCTTTTTACTTACTTATGTATGCACGACAGCAACCTCAAGTTAGCCTTCAGGGGTTGGCAAAAAGGACCACAATAGGGCCCTCTTGCCGGACTAGTTCCCCCACCAGTAGCAGTAGCAGTAGCAGTACTTATTTATGTAGAGAAGCCTAATATACCATATAAAGACAGGATTCCCTGATTATTTGCCACCCTCATTTTGACTAACAAAGATAAATTTCAAAAATATGTCCATAAAAAATCTAAAAATAAAATGTCAAATTTATGGCTGAAAGTTCCACTCTTTATATGAATTATCTGTGTTTTCTGGGAACTTTTTTTTTGGAGGGGGGCATTGAAATATTTACCACTTATGGCCACCACTTGTCATGATCCGCCCTTGTAAATTACATATAAATCCGGTTCCTAATTATTATAAGTTATTATTTAATTAATAATATTTAAAAGATGTAATCATATATTCATTTTTATTTTAGAATTACTTTGGAGACGCGTGGAATGTATTTGATTTTATAATTGTACTTGGAAGTTTTATTGACATAATTTATTCAGAATTGAATGTAAGTATCTTCTAAGAAATTTAATTTTGATAAATAATTTTAGAATATATTTTTAATCTAAAATTATTAAATTTTCAGCCAGGATCCAGTTTAATATCAATTAACTTTTTTCGATTGTTTCGTGTCATGAGATTAGTTAAACTTTTAAGCAGAGGTGAAGGTATTAGAACACTTTTATGGACTTTTATTAAATCTTTTCAAGCATTGCCATATGTAGCACTTCTCATTGTGATGCTTTTCTTCATTTATGCCGTGATTGGTATGCAAGTGAGTATAGTAGTTTCAAGTATATCTAATCTCATAGTTATAGATAGAATGAAGCAGATTCATATATTATCATTACTGTTATTTTCATTGAAATTATGTGAATAATCTAATTAAAACCTTCAGGCACTATCATTCAAAACTGTGACTTAGGCATGACAAATATAAAACAAAAAACATAAGTTTCTTTCTTGGTCCTTTTGTTTTGACTTCCATTTTTATATAAGACTATAATCTTGTTTTATAGAATGAGGAAAAGCGGAATATATCTTAAAATTAATTAGATAATTTAAGAAAATTATTAACATTTAATAGGTAGACTGTGCAATAATATTGAATGTAAGAAAAAACACTCTTCTTTTTACAGTCTCATATATTTATGTTTAGGAGCTTTCGGTGTTCTGCACCATATTTATCATTATAATGCTTGTTTAATCCATTTTTGGATTTCGTTCTTGGTATAAATTTTATTAATCATTATAGATTGGTGTCTAAATTGACAAATAAATTTGTTTACCCTTTTCCATTACAGGAGAAGAGAGGACCCCTGTTGTACTTTATTTATTATTTTTTTTAATGTAGACCCCAATATATAATAATTGATAAAATTTATAATAATAACGAAATCCAAAAATGGATTGTACAAGCATTGTAAAGATGAAAATGATTAATTGGGTGTTTAATTTAAAAGTTAATAAAGGAAGGAGATGGTCTGCGGTGGCGGTCATAAATAGGCTAAATAGTGGTAAAACTATTTTTATTAAAAGCCGACGTTTCGACCCGACTTTGCAGGTCTTCTTCAGGGCTAGAACGGACAAGATACAAAAAGATAGAGAATTGTGGCAGTTACATAATATTTAGACAAAATTTATAAACAATGTGAATAAGCTTATTGAAATTATAAACAGTAAGTACATTAAAATATGAACAAAGTAAGCTAAGTAACAAGATCCTAAAATGAAGTAAATAGATGTTAACAATTGTTGTAGTGTGATATATAATAAATGTAAATGTGAATATACTTCTACAGATCTACAGGAGAGATTAAAAGAAAAGGGAAAAAGGATATAATCCCCACATATATTATTACAGTAAGGCTCGAAATCGGTTTTGTACCAAATATAAGTTCCTTTCATGATCAAATACCATGAATGGGGTACCGTTGGATTCAGAATTTCACGGGGGGTTAGAGAATCATATTCTCCACTTTTGTTTTTCTTTCTAAAATAAATAAAGTCGATACAAACATTTTACTAGGCTTTAATAATGGAATGGTGGTAGGTCTGTAGATCAATATGGGACAAATTGGATCTTGAAGATTTTGATGCGTACAGCAAGACTCGGATAGTTCCTATGGAACTATCGGGCCCTGCGTTTTAAGCCCCAAAACAAACTATTTCCGAGATAACGCAAGGCATATGGTTAGCATCCACACAGCCTTACATTAATTGTGGTACTTTCATTGAATACATGTCTCATTTCGTCGACTTGAGGTCTCTATGATCGATATAGGAGGGGTTTATATTATTTACCGATGGTGTTTTTGATGGGCATGCCATATCATCGTTAATTTTTAAATAAATCTCAAAATTGAGCAACCAGTTTCGAAAGTTTCCTTCTCCTTCAGGCGAGCAAAATAGTCCAATCACCCCGAAAATTCAGGCAAACAAGTTATGAAAGAAAACAAACTTTATTTGCCGAATAACTAAAAAATTACACACTTTTCCCTGGGTTATGCCCAAGATTATATAAAAGATTACTGAATTCCCTACAAAATATTTTTAAAAAAATTATCGAAATCGGACTATTTTTACCAAAGATACAGCTTACTGAAATTTGTGAACATGTTGGTTCCAAACAAAAATAAAGATTTAAAATTAATTTTTGTTTTTTTTGTCGATTATATTTATCGATAAAGTAACATTTGATTTCTTTATCTTTTGACACCTTGCATTATTTTCTTTTCTTATTAATTTGCTATTTGCTGTGCAAATTTTTCGTACGGGCCTACTAGTATGAAATAATAGACATAAAGAAATGTGGAGAAAGAAAAGAAAGGAAACCAAAAATTAAATAAATAGGTAAATAAAATGGATGAATGAAATTCGAGACTTACGGTGTGTTCAGCTAGGACTTTCACTTAGAACTGGAAAACCATGGGATGAGGACAGGTATAAGGGAAGCTGACTTGTTTGGATAATGGGGAAAAAATCTAGAAAATTACAGTATCTAAAATTTGAAGGTATTGATGGATACAATGGAAAAATACTATATTTATGAAATATTAAATTATAAATATATACATATACATATAAAATAGAATTAAGAGATTATAGATAAGAGTACAATGTGAATAAACACAAAATTGACAGAAGTAAAATATAAATATAGAAGTAACTTCATTTACATACATACATTGCAGAACTAACTTAGAAGTATGGAGAGGGAAAAAAATATCTGTAGAAGTATATTCACATTTACATTTATTATATATCACACTAAAACAATTGTTAACATCTATTTACTTCATTTTAGGATCTTGTTACTTAGCTTACTTTGTTCATACTTTAATGTACTTACTGTTTATAATTTCAATAAGCTTATTCACATTGTTTATAAATTTTGTCTAAATATTATCTAACTGCCACAATTTTGTATCTTTTTGCATCTTGTCCGTTCTAGCACTAAAGAAGACCTGCAAAGTCGGATCGAAACGTCGGCTTTTAATAAAAATAGTTACCACTATTTAGCCTATTTATGACCGCCACCCCGGACCATCTCCTTCCTTTATAATGCAACGGTCAACTATTAAATATTCAATTAAAAGTTAATAGTATAAATTTAATAATTCACTCAAAATATTACTTATGTCCAAGTATGATATTCAAACAAATACTAATTTATAGACTTTTAATGACCAAGCTTTATAATAATTATGCTCCACTACAGTTACAAAATTTAAGAAAACGTTTTATTGAGCATGCACTAGTTTGAAGGTAAATAAAGCTACCTCCTGCCTAGCCATCAGTCTGGCCTGAGACAGCCAATCAACACTCCTCCAGCGTATAACTTTATTTCATTCCAGTTTCATTGATTTACGTGTTTTTGTTATGTTGCTTTTTGTTTCAATTTAAAATTATTTACCACAAGATAAATAGTCACTTAAGATTTCCTCCAAATTCACGGATAAAGCTGAGCAGGGCTTGCTAAGTAGATCTCTCGAGATCCGAGGCATCCCAGTGCGAGTAGGTGAAATTCACGCAGCCCTAGTGACAAGCATAGGGGCCGGTCTGAGGATCAAGTAGATTGTTGAAGACCTGGACACTGGACACTGGACACACACTAGAAAAGACGACCCGATGCCGCAGCCAATCATCGCACGCTTTATCAGAAAATCAGTGAGGGACGAATTGGTGCTGCAGAGAAGAAAGGTGAAGAGGGATTTCTCAACGCGTAATATCGGGTGGCTGGAAAATGACTATCACCTAATATATCTCAGCGAGGAGATGATCCTAACAAATAAGCACCTCTGCTGGCTTGCCTGACTGATAAAGGCTGCAGGAAAAATAAAATACATTTGGTTCGCTGCCGGAATTGTGCAGTGCCGAAAAGAAGATGGCCATCAGGCGGTATTCATCGACTGGGCTCAGGATCTGGATATCTTTGTCTGATTGGCTGAGTCTCGTTTACTCTTCAGCATCAAGCAAACAGTTGGCATCTCTACCGGACATTCGTTGAAAATTTTGAATCCAATACCATATTATCTGGATTCTTTCTTTCTATTTATTTATTTTTACTCTGGATTTCTTCTCTTTAATTTACTTTTTTCTTTTACTTTAATTTATACCATATTTTATTTATTGTATCGTATCTATTCCAGTGTCTTCCTATCATATATCTTATCCTCTACCGATTGTTCTCTCCTAAATCCTGTCCATGTCTAGTGTCTTAACTGTGTCTGCCATGTTAACTCCTAGTCCCTTCTAGCCCATTACGATGAATTCCGACAATATTTTACTCAAAACTTCTACCACATTATAGCGATTTCCGGAACTTGGCTCAAGCCCTACATCCCTTCCTCCGCTGTCTCCCTGCCTAACTACACCTTAATCTGCCATGACCGGGAAAGCTGGACTGGCGGCATTGGAGCTATGAAAGTCTTAAACCCGAATACTTGACTGTTCTCCTCATCCGATCATCCACAAACCGAGTTCCTTATCCTTGAGATTTCCTGTAATGCCTCTCATCTCCTATATACCATAGTATATTGCCCTCCCCAGTTTCCCTCCGATCCGTCTTTTGAATTATCCCTATACAACTTTGTTCAGCTTTATTCCAAAATCATCATTTCCGGAGACTTAAACACTAATTTCCTTTCAGATTCCAACAATAAATCATACGTCCAAAATCTTTTTTTTTGCTCTTCATCTTCTCATTGTTCCTTTTTCTTCCACCCACCATACCTCAAGGTCCGACACTTGGCTGGACATGTACATTATCGACTCCGCTCAGAATCTCCTTTCCTCTTCCTAATCACCAGTTTCCTTTTTATCCTCCCATGATCTAATCCAAATTTTATATAATATCCAAACTCCTCCAATCATACTTAGAACCATAACTTTCTGTAACTTTGACGCCCTTAATCAGGAAAAATCTCACCCAGCCTAGAATCTCTGGATTGGGATGGAATATATTGTGGTTCCCCTATTGATCCCATGGTTGAAATCCTCACCTCTAATCTTTTAATACCCTTGATACCTATGCTCCCTTCAAAACCTCTATTTTTCATCGATGTCCGGCTCCCTGGATGTGTAAGTAAATCAAGGATCTTCTGAAGACATGTGACGCTGCCTGTACCACGCAGCTTTAGATGTACCAGGCTTGCTGACGACTACCAAGCGTTTAGGATGCTCCACAACTTGACACTAACTAGAATGGGAAGAGACAAATCCACCTATTTTCATGAAGCACTTTTTTCAGCTCCTGATTCTAAATCCAAATGGCTACTTCTTCAACTCTCCCTCTATGAACCTTCCAGATCACCTCCCTTACCAGTATTCTCAGTTTCACCTGACGATCTAAATTCATATTTTATATTTGTTTCCTCTGTCATCCTACCATTAACATCCTCCTTTCCTCCTGATACATCGTTTAATGAAGATGATTTTGATTTCTCAGATATTTCACCCACAGACCTCATATCTGCTGTGATCAAATCACATTCTAATTCCATCGGTCCAGATGGCATTCCTGCCAAATTAATCAAATCATGCCTCCCTGAAATCTTTCCCGTTCTCCTTTTCATTTATAATTTCTCCCTTCAGAACTCTGTATTTCCTACCCCTTGGAAGAAAGCCATTGTCTGTCCTTTAAATAAAAATTCTAACTTCACTTCCTCTGATTTCTGTCCAATCTCAATCCTATCTAACTTTTCAAAACCCCTCGAAAGAACAGTGAAATCTGAAGTTTCCAATTTACTCGAACAGTCCAACCAGCTTGACAATCTGGTTTTAGACCAGGTTACTCCACACAATCCGCCCTAATCAAAATCATTAGTGATATTCAATCCGCCATAGATATCCAAAAACTAACTGTTCTTGTACTGCTAGACTTTTCCAAAGCCTTTGATACCATTAACGATTCCATCCTTTTTTCCAAATTAAAACCATTATCCTTTTCTAACAGTTTTATCCTTTGGTTTCAATATTTCCTTTCTCAACGCACTCAAGCAGTTGCTATTCCCAATCAACCTCTGTCTTCCTATCTTACTCTGACCTCAAGAGTGGCCCAGGGCATATCGCCTTTTCTTTTTAGTTCCTACATCAACAACCTTCATATATCAATCCTTCACTGTTCCCATCATGCCGATGATTCTCAAATTTATTTTTCCTTCACTCCCTCAGAATTGCATAATGCATTTGCCAAAATTCAAGAAAACCTAAATCGGATCAGTGCCTGGACAAACTTAAGTGGATTTAGCTTCAACGCTGCCAAAACTCAAGCCATTGTCATTGGTTCCAAACCACTTCTCAGATCCAACACCAACATTCTTATCCTGTACCTAAAGGACTATCCCATCACCTTTAGTTTCTCAGTAAAAAACCTAGGCATTTTCATAGCCCAAACCCTCTCCTGGAATCTACATATTGCTCACATCTCCTGACGGTCAATTGGTACCTTGAAACTATTCCATCGCTTCCGCCATCTCCTATCCATTCCCACATGTAGACTCCTAGTATCATCCCTCACCTTGATTACTGGTGCATGGTGTACGGTGACCTCTCGACAGAACTTGGGAACAGAATTATGAATGCCTTCGTAAGATTTGTCACTGGGACCCTGAGACGTTCCCGTTTTTCTCACAAGTATGCTGAGTTAGGATGGCTCTTCTCCTCCTTCGGAAGACAATATTTCCTAGGCAGATTCCTTTACCAAATAATTCATAATCATCGTCCATCCTACGCATACAATCTCCTACAATTCAAGTCATCAATCCACACTCTCTCCACTAGATCTCGTCCTTCTGACCTTTACACCCCTTTCCACAGATCTGCCACAGATCTGCCTTAAACATTCCTTTGTTGTCCATTCCACTGCATTTTGGAATTCCATCCCACTCAAAATCCGTCATGCACCATCCTTATCCACATTTAAAACTCTCTTATTCCAATTCCTCTTCACAATTTAATCAGACGCTGGCTAAGTATTTATTATGTACCAAGGTTTTAATTTTCTTTATACATTTTTTTTTTCATTTTTTTCTTCTGTTTTGAGTATGAAACAGAATTTCCATCATCTTTCAGAAAACATTGTGAGTAGGTATAATTTTTTTTTTTTTTGTTCATCTTAACTTCTACTTTTCCTATTCATAAGATTGTATTTCTTTGAAATGTATTTTATTTTATATAAAAGTGTCTTATTTTTTACTTATCTTCTATACACTCCTCCCTATACGTGTATGTATATATACATTTTTTTTTCTCCTCGGAATCTATCGCTTCATAGGCAGATCACAATACTTGTCTAATTTTTCACAATATCTTTATGTGTATTCACATAAACTTCTTAAGGAACAGATGTAAATCATTTATTTACTCTAGTCATTTCTTTTCTTTTTTAATTTTTGTATTTTGTAACTACAATGGTTTGCCTATAAAATCTATTTAGCTTTCCTTTCTAATTTCCTTTAGTTATTTGTATGTTATTGTTTTTTGCACCAATATTATTGTATTTTAACCCTAGTACCCATCTACGTTTGTTAATATATCCTCAAAGCTATGTATGTACTTATTTTACTACTTATGCTTTAGGTATTCTTTTTCTTAATATGTCTTTTGGCCAGATTTATTGTTAATTGGTATGAACAATATTGTTATTCTTAAGGGACATAGTCCCAGAATAAAGATGATTTTCTATTCTATTCTATTCTAAATTAATTATACTTTAACTGTTACATTCCAAGTCTGTCAAGGGTAGGAATCTTTTGAATTCAATAGTGATAACCAATTTCTGACATTATTATAGACATCTAAAAATAATCTTCTGCCACAATCTTATTTATTGTTTGTATTGCAGTTTAGCTGGATATTTTTCAAGCTAATCTTTGTTCATTTTTCACTCTAGAGACATTTTTGTTGTTTATTGCCTATTTAGTCTAACATCTTTCAGGTTTTATTTGTTTTGTTTTTTTAAACGGTTCCTATTGACAGTTTTGTGTTGAATTGCAATTTGGCCAAATATTTTTCAAGTTTTTCTGTGTTTTTTTTAATATGATTTCTTACCAAATTACAAAATAATGCATGGGATTGAAAGAATATAAAACAAATAAAATGGTTTTCAAAAATTCTAGATGGTGGCTGTTTGATAAGGCAGCTGTATTAAGTTATATAGAGGGGTAATACTTTCTCCTCATTTACATAACCTCCAAGCCTAAGCTTTCCCTACTATAGTATTATTTAAGTTATTGGCATAAAATCTTATTTATGATTGGAATAAGTGTTTTCTAGAGATATAGTTTTAGTTCTTTCTAATAATTTGAATCTTTACCTCAGTTACAATAATATTGAATGTGGGAAATCTTACTGTACCCAAGTAGCTTCAATGATCAAGTTTATGGTGGTCTTTTATTTTTTATTTTGTTTTTGGCTTTAACATTTTATATTAAATCCTACTTTTCCAGTGCCTTTTATTTTGATTTGAAAACTTTAACAGATTTTTAGCTTTGTGCCTTGGTTGATGTTTCTAATGTGCTTACAATAGTTCTTCATTAGAAATTTCAAATCTCTCACACCTTTTTTGATAAAAAAAAATTTCCATGATAAACCTCTGATTAACATAGGTCTGACGAGAATTAATTTAATCTTTAATACTTATTAATTAACTAGCCAAAATTTATTTTAACGATTTTAAATTGCTGGTGTTTAGGTATTTGGCAAAATTGCATTGGATTCAGGTACTGCTATCCACAGGAACAATAATTTTCAAACATTTCCTCAAGCAGTTCTAGTTCTATTTCGTTCAGCTACAGGTAACTTTATATTGTATATAAATTTATTATTAATAAAAAAGAGAAAATTAACTTTTGTTTATTAATATCATCTAGGTGAAGCTTGGCAAGATATTATGCTTGATTCATCTGCAAGACCTGGAGAAGTACTGTGTGATGAACGTTCTGGAGACACATCATCAACTTGTGGTTCTAATATAGCATTCCCATATTTCATTTCATTTTATGTTCTTTGTTCATTTTTGGTAAGAACTTTATATGCATTTACTTATTATATTCATTACTTTCATACTTATCAAATAAAATATATGGTATAACTTGGGGCTCCTTGGGCTCATTACAGGGGTACTTGGATCCATCCAAAAAATGTTTATGAAAATATATCCATAATCCACAACCTCTACAACAGACATCAACACCAGGAATAGATTCTGGAATCCTTTACATTCTCACTACGTTTTTTCAATGTTGGTCCAAGCCAGTGTTATTCGAAATTTTATCTAGATAATGAATAATAGATACATTTTTATTCGTTATTCTTATTCAATGACCTTTGGACTGATAATTATTTGTTATTTGTTATTTACAGATAATATGCATTATCTATTATCTATTATTCGTTAATTAAGATTAAAACATGATTTGAATAATTTTTTTTTGTAATTTTAAGGATTTCTTTGATAAAAAGGTCTATTTATATGTTTTCGGAGCCACAGTTTTTTAAAATGATCTCCATTTTAAGATTACGCCACTGTGTTGTGGCTTATTTTGAGTTTTTTGTATTTCTTTGATTCAAGGGTCTGTTTATATGTTTTCGGAGCTGTAGATAATTAAAATGATCTCCATTTTAAGATTACACCACTACGATGCGGCTTATTTGAATTTTTTGGATTTATACGGTGTAAGGGTCTATTTATATGTTTTCGGAGCCACAGATTTGAAAATTATCTCTATTTTAATATTACGCCACTGCTTTCCATCTTGTTTGAGTTTTTGTATTTCTTTGATGTAAGGGCCTATTTATATGTTCTTGGCTCCTAGAATTTTCAATTCTATTGTTTGCACTGTTGAAGAAGTGTAATATTTGATAATAATTCTTATAATTTTCTGTGAATCATAAAATTTAAAATATTTGTAGTCTTTAGTACCAAAAGCTGCTCCATATAATACCAAGTTGGTACAATAAATTTCTAGAATTTAAGAAATTTCAGTTATTTATGTATTATTATTCATAATAATAATAATAATAAAAGGCTTAGCGAACCCGAAGGTTCGATGCCGACACCACCAATCGCTTATTACACACCTCCCTCCACCGTTCGCCGTCCAAACCCAGTCCCTTCAGATCGGCTTTAATGCAATCTTCCCACCTTCGCTTCGGTCTACCCCTCGGACGCTTACCATTCGGCACAGCAAATATTAACCTTTTAGGAATTCTCTCGTTACTAAGCCCAACAACTTTACAAGCCCATTTGATTCGCCGCGATGATATTACCTCAATTATATTACCCGGATACAGCTCACGCAATTCGGCGTTGTGTAACCGTCTGAACTCTCCGGTTAACTCATCCTTCTTCGGTCCGAATATTCTACGCAATACTTTATTTTCAAAAACCTTAAGACGCTGCTCATCCCTTAATGTAAGCGGCCAAGTCTCGCATCCATAAAGAACTGTAGGCAAGATAATTGTTTTATAGATTCTAATTTTTAAGTTCCGGGACAAGAGGCGCGAACTAAGTAGTTTTGTCACAGCAAAATAACAAGCATTTCCCGCCTTCAGTCTAACCTTAATCTCTTCTTCAATTTTGTTTTTTCTAGTTATCGTAGAACCTAGGTACCTAAATTTCTCTACCTGTTCAAACATATTACCATCTATATTGATATCACCAGTAGTATCGCCATTTTTGCAGCTAACCATATATTTTGTTTTATCCGCATTAATTTCGAGTCCTAGTTCCTTAACTAGGACTTTCATTAACGTTGTCGTATTTAGTTTTATAGTTTCAACGTCTTCGCTTAACAGTACCAGATCATCAGCATAGCCCAGCACGGATGTTATCCCGCCCAGATACAACCCTTTCTCGGTTCGCATTACCTCCCTAATGGCATGTTCTAATGCCAAATTGAACAGGACAGGCGAAAGAGAATCCCCCTGTTTTAAACCTGAACGAACCTCAAATTTTTCGGACAAATTATTACCGATTCTAACTTTATTGAGTGTCTCCGTCAAGCACATCCTGACTAGATTTACTAGTTTTTTTGGAATCCCCTGCTTGATTAAAATATTATACAGTTTCTGGCGGTCAATAGAATCGTAAGCCTTTTTAAAATCTATATACAGCTGGTGAACAATACCGTTATACTCCAATTTTTTCTCTAATATTTGCCGTAAAGAAAATATTTGATCAATAGTCGAACGATTCTGTCTAAATCTGCATTGGTAGTCTCCGATAATTTCCTCGGCGTATTCCGTGATTCGACTGGTTAAGATTAAAGTGAATATTTTATAACATACCGGAAGGAGTGAAATTCCTCGATAGTTATTACAATCCGCCCTCGGACCCTTTTTGTGAATCGGAATAAGAATAGATTCTTTCCATTCTTCAGGTAATTTCTCGTTCACCCAGATCTTTTTAACCAACCGATGTATTTTAGAAACTCCAGCTTCCCTGCATGCCTTAATTAGTTCAGTAGGAATATTATCGGTTCCCGCTGCTTTATATGATTTTAATTTTCCGATAGCTACTTCAACTTCCTCTTTACTTGATCCTTCTATTAACGGTTCAGCACTCTAGTACTCAGAAGGAGGACATAGATCATAATTTCCCGTATTTAAAATATTGTCAAAGTGATCCTTAAACTTATTCAATATGTCAAACGGATCGGTCAGAATATTGTTATTATCATCCCTAATTCCAGACGTTACGGGCCCTACACATTTACGTGAACTGTTTATACCTTTGTACATGTCTCTTACGTTATTTTCGATTCTATTAGTTTCTATTTCAATTATTTTATTTTTAAGATACTCCCTTTTTTTATTTTTGAGCAATTTTGTCGTTTCGTTCTTTGAGGTTCAGAAGTATTCCAGATTGTCTTCGCTAGGATTATTTAGAGCTTTTAATTTAACGGCTTTTCTTTTTTCGCACATGTTTAAGCAATCTTCATCAAACCACGGTTTGTTATTCTTATTTTCCTTTTTTCCTAGACACGAGTTACCGACCGCTTTAATATTATCCCTGATCTCTACCCATAACTTGTCAATATCCTCGTGGTCCTCATCAGGAAGCTCTAAAGCTTCAAACTTATTCTTAACATCTAGCTCGAATTGGTTTCTAATCGATGGATTTTTTCATTTTTCCAAATTAAAATTCTCAAAATCGAAACGGTTTTCTTTTCTCTTTTTTATATTAAGTTTTTGTCAAAGTTTCGCGATTACTAATTCATGATCCGACCCACATTCTGCTCCGCAATAAGACCGTACATTAATTATACTGCTTTGGTTGCTGTGTTGTATCAAAACATGATCGATTTGATTTTGTGTTTGCGAATCCGGTGATGTCCAAGTATATTTATGAATATCCTTATGTTTAAACGTCGTACTTTTAATTATCAGGTTTTTCGAGATGGCAAAGTTTATCAGACGGATCCCATTATCATTACTATATCCTTGCAAACTTTCTTTACCAATCGTCGGAATATAAACTTCTTCCCTTCCTACCTTTGCGTTCGCGTCACCTACAATTATTTTCATGTAGTTTCGCGGTAGTTTATCATAAACCCATTCGAGTTTATCGTAAAATTCACTTTTGACTTCATCGTCACTGTCTTCGGTCGGACAATGTATGTTTATTAATGCGATTATAAACCAACGTCCCTGAAATATAGCTACCGAAATTCTATCACTAAAGAATTGTACGTCCCTCAAAGCGGATAGTAATCTACTCCTAATTAGAAACCCGGTACCTAAACAATGATTCCCGCTTCCTCCATACCAAATAGTGTACTTTCCTTCCCTCATCGAGCCCTCCCCTGGCCAGCGAACCTCTTGCAGAGCCACGACATCCAAATTGTACCCATTTACCTCATTTGCGACCGATTTTAGCCTCCCTGCTGTGTTTAAGCTCCTTACGTTCCACGTACCAATATTTAAATCCCTATATTTCAACTTGCGCCATGAATTCCCTAAAGCAGTCCCCACCCGGAGACCCGAACGGGGACTAGTTTACCTCCGGATAATGAGCATTTTACCTTAGGGAGATCCATGACTATTTGTGGTGTTTGGTGAACTAAAGATATGTGAGTAGGGCGTTCAATCCTACGTCACACCCTCTAGCAAGTCTGGTGGGCTCCTACCTCCAGCAAGTCTGCAGGTCCCCTCCCTCCAGCAAGTCTGGAGGGCCCCTCTCATTGTTGGTCAGCGAATCCATTGGACTTAGCCGGGAGGAACTTCCAAGGAATTTCCACCGACCATCCCCACATCCGCCACCCGTGGGACGCTCCCCATACGCGGTAATGAGCCTGCGTGAGGATTATTATTCATATGTTCTTGAATATGTTAGAAATTTTATAATGCTACATTTAGCAGATTTTAATTATTAAGACCTCCTTAAATATAATTTCACATGAAAAGAAATTTTAAACATATAAATCATTGTTGTAATTTTTATTCAAAAATAAAAAATCAATTAATTCACATTTTTGAATCTGAAGTTATCATATTTTCTTTCAAAACCACTCTCATTTCAAAGAGTCTACCACACACTTTATTAATTTCTGGTAGATCTATTATTGTTTTATAATTTAAGAATGCATCTATTATTTTAAGAAAAAAGTCGTTCAACCGTTGCTGAGGATAGGAGTGGCTTATTGTCTACTATAAAAAATTTTTTTTATTAATTTTTTGTTATTTCAGTTCTTAAACTCTGGGACGTGATTCTAAATACAATTTTCATCAAATTATGGGACCAATTTCAAACAAAAAAGGAGTTAAGCCCAATTTTGTTTTTTATTAAGGTGGTCACGTTTTTTCTTTGATGGGAATTAATAACACAAAAATTATTTAATTCAGGTAAATAAAAATTTCTTCATAGTAAATTGGACATAATTTCCTTCAAATACAGGTAGAGTTTGGCTTTGTCAAAACCTTTTAAAGGGGACTTATGAGCAATCAAACTACACTGTTATTTTTCCATTAAATCATGGATTATTCGCGATGTTTTTTTTTTATCATCCTATAGATACATTAAATGGGATGATGACTTTTATCATCCTGAGTTTTTCTTTAAAACAGTATTGATGCGGTTTATGTAGCATTATAATTCTGATTTCCTCAATTACGGCTATTTCTGAAATAAAATATCTCATTTCTTTTTTTTCTGAAGAAGTAAAATTTACAAGAAATAGGATATCTTATTTCAGAAATAGCCTAATTGAGGAAATCAAAATCCTAATGCCATATAAACTGCATCAATACCTGTTTTGAGTAAAAACTCAGTATGATAAAGTTTATCATCAGATTTAAAGTATCTATAGGATGATAAAAAAAAAAAAAATCATTGCGAATAATTCATGATTTAATGGTTTGGCCACTCAAAAGTCCCCTTTAAAAGGTTTTTACAAAACCAAATTCTACCTGTATTTGTAGAAAATTATGTCTAGTTTACTATGAAGAAATTTTATTTACCTGAATTAAATAATTTTTGTTATTGCTTCCTATGAAAGAGAAAATGTGACCACCTTAAGAAAAAATATAATTTTGCTGAACTCCTTTAATATTCAAAATAAGCCTATACATCAAATGAAAATTTTTGGTTGGAAATTTTGTCTATAATCACCTCTGTATTTGGCCAATAAGAATTTAGACACCCTGTATATGCAATAGAGTTTCATGCAGATAACTGGAAAAAATAGCCCAAGGTAGGCTGAGACGTAGAAGGGTGCCTGTGTTATCATGAAGGAAGGCTGCAAGAGATCTGCAAGGACTGTAATGCCAACCCGAAAAAAAGTAATAATAAAAATAAGATACAGGTTTGAATGTAGTAATTAAAGAGCTCTACTTTATTGTTACTCTCTTTTATAGTTTATTAGAAAATAAATTTAATCATATGAAACCAAATAGGTCTATTGTGAAAATGTAGGAAGGGGTTTGTCATGTAACCCAGAATAAGAATGGGTATACTTGATCAGATCTATAAGAAAATTACCATTTAAGTTTCTCAAAGGTGGGAAGACTACTTCTTCTGAATCTTCTTAATAAATTCCTTCCATTGATGTAAGCAATTAATTGTTTCAAGAAATAATAAATTTTTCAACCAATTTTGGTTGAATTCAATTGGTACCAGTAAGGCATCAATATCGTAGGAACTGTTTTACTGAATCAGGAACAATTAAATCAATATTATTATTATATTGATTATATTATATTATCAATATACTACTGCAATATTTTTCAATAATATTATGTTGAATATTTCAATAATATTAAAACATTTATCCACATGTTTTCTTAATTTCAGATTATAAACTTGTTTGTTGCTGTTATAATGGATAATTTTGATTACTTAACAAGGGATTGGTCTATTCTTGGTCCTCACCACTTAGATGAGTTTATTAGACTATGGAGTGAATATGATCCTGATGCTAAAGGAAGAATCAAACATTTAGATGTTGTAACATTATTAAGAAAAATTTCACCGCCCCTTGGCTTTGGAAAATTATGTCCACATCGTGTAGCTTGTAAAGTAAGTAAAATTGAAAATATGTAATTATAATAAAATATAATGTAAATATATTAATATTAATTTCTTTATCATTTAAAAATTAAGTTCCACAATTTAGTGTTATTGGATCAAGTTTTGCTTTTAACTAATTTTTTTCAGTACTGAATAATAACTATTGAATAGCGCAACTTTCAGATTATCAATTTTTCATTAAAATACTAATGGTAAACACAAATTATTTTATAATTGTATAATTATATATATATATATATATATATATATATATATATATATATATATATATATATATATATATATATAAGAATTGACCACTTGAACAATGGTTAACCAACAACCATTCCCCAATAGTGGCTCAAATACTTTTCACAACGATGGGTCAACATAATTTTTTCACCATTAATTCGGTAAATCATTTTTTATTACATATATATATATATTATATAAAAATTTAGGATGTTATAATGATAATATATGATTAGTTAATTAATGGCAATTAACAATGTTTTTTAGAACCATTCTAATCCCAAAAGAGATATAACACATAAAAATTAAAAACTTTTATTTGGTTACATCAACACATTTATTTTGTGTAGTGCACATTGTAATGCTTCGATCTTTTTCACCATTTTCAAACATTTCTGTTTCACCCATTTTATGCAACCTGTCCAAAAATTATCTGTAAACTTTTTTGTTTTTATATATTATTTGTAAATATCATCTAAACAAGAAGAAAATTTCTTTTTGTCAGTCAGGAAATTTTGTTGATACTGGTTGGAACCAGGTTGGATAGGTGGTATAAAATAGTTGGAACAGAAATGTTTGAAAATTTCCAAAAAAGGCTGAAATGTTACAAAATAAGTATGTTGATGTAACCAAATAAAACATTTTAATTTTTATGTGTTCTGTCTTTTGGGTTATGAATGGGCTCTAAAAATATTGTTAATTTCTATTAATTAATTAATGATATATAGATTTTTCATTCTATCTAACCATATGCCAATCTGCAGTATTAACTAGCAGGTTTCACCATTTTTATATTATGTACACATAGTATATTATTTATTGTGCACATGTCCCTTCTATAAGATAGGGAATGGAATAAGTAACACATATTACACTTCACATCATTATATTTTTTACAGTTGGGTAATTTGTCGATTGATCAATTATTAGGATGAATAAAATTGTCAGGATTTACAGTGAAGAATTTTTTAGTAGGTTAACCGATGTTTCGAACCAAACATGTGGGTCATTCACAGGGCTATCTTTTGGGAATCAAGGAGTCAAGGGGCAAGAACTACTCCCAAAAGATGAAGATAAATTCATGAAATAAATATATATAAATTCTAAAAAATAAGAGCATTGTATAAGAGGAGAAAAGGGAGAGAGCAGGGAAAGAAAGGAAAATTGAATGTTAAGAAAAAATATATATATGTCTACTATACTTATTTATATTGAAATTATACTGTATACTTGTACATTAGTTTTAAAAATTGGTCATTGCGATTAAACAAGTATGCTGTGTATTTAGCAGCCTAATATAATTGGCAGAACTTTTTAATGAAAATAAAGTGTTTCTCTTTAGTTTAATTTTAAAAAAAGAAAAGTTCTTCCCCTACATTAAAGAAAATAATTTAATGAACATATAATTTTAGTAGATTTATGGTTGTTTAAAACTGTTGGTCCCATGTTGGGAATAGTAATATCTCAACTATGTTGTTTACATAGATTTTTAGAAGGTAAAACAGTTGGCTTATATCGATATTTGGTTGGCCAACACCCCATACATTCAACTTAACCAACCATTTCCCAATGTTGGTCCAACCATGCTTGCTCACCAGGAATATTGTCCAAAAGTAATTTAAATCATGAGGACTTATTTATATAATTAATATGAAATAATTCAGTTAGTTGCACATCTTTTGACAGAGATAAGGCCTATTTAATGGGTTGCCACAATGTTAGTATTGATGCTTTCCAAATTTTTAAACAAAGCGCTGCCTTTTGTTCTTGTATCTATTCTGTTATTCTAATAATGTTGTTTTAATAAACCAGACCTAACTCCTTCAGGCTTGTGCAAATTTAAATCAAATAAATGATTCTGGGAACAATTTAGGAATATACAGTCAAATAAGAAAGCTAGGAATACAATTAAATAAGAAAAGAATAATTATGCAGAGAGGATAGTAATAAGAAGAAAGAACAAAATAATAAAAGCCACATTGTTTATTCGAGATTGTAAATAATAGTTTAATGATTTTATGAATAAAGGCAACTCCAAAGTCATCAACCAGCTGATTTAATTATAGGAAAAAAATGAGGATCAACTGAAAATTTTAAAAAATAAATAAATAAATTGTACCAAAAACTAGTGTTCTAATTCTTCAAGGGGATATAGGGTCTTAAAAATTGCTTACTTATTTAGTCTACAAAGGAATTATAATTGTTTTGATAACAAATATTTAATTTATTATGCATAAATGAACACTATCAGCAATGAAATAATCAGTAGAAACTTATCGGAGAAAGAAAGCATGGAGTATAGGATTAAAAATTTGGATAAATTATGTTATTTAACGAGTAGCATTTATAATAAAAAATGCCTCTCCAAAAAATCCAAAATCATGCACTACAATACAGTGGTAAAGCCAGTGATATTGTACGGAACGGAGACAATGCTCTTTCCCAGTTTGGAAAAGCTGCTGAAAATAGAAAGAAGGATTCTTAGAAGAATCCATGGGCCCAAAATAACACCAGAAGGGTACAGACTGAAATCCAATAAAGAGATTTACAGTGAAACCTCTGATTTGGAAACGGAAATGAGAGTAAGAAGACTTAGGTTTTATGGACACATGCAAAGGATGACCGAGGGGAGGTTAAACAAGAAGATTTTCAGTAGGGTTATGGGATACAAGTTTAACCATGGATATATGGTACAAATAAAACAGGAAATATAGAGGCTTAGGATAACATGGGAATTATGTGAGGATAGGACAGAATACAAGAAATTCCTGAAAAGTGCGTTGCATGTGGTGGACAGTAAGGAACTTCCGTCCAGGAGGAAGTGGACTGAGGAGAGGAAGAAAAAATTTAGCGATATCCTCAAGCAGAGATGGGCAGAAAGGAAGAAATTGAAAAAGAATCCAGTCATAGTTGCGTAGTCCTTCAGGGCTGTTTCGCGTAAAATATATAAATAAATGAACACTAACTCAATCGGAAGTCTTACTTTTTTGCAATTAATTACAATTTAAAAAATGCTTTAACTTCGTTTTATCAAAACCAACTTTGACTTTGGGACAAGGTTTGATTTAATTTCTATTGTAACATTGTGATTTCTTTCAATCTATACAAGACCTTAATAATCATTGACATCTTATAAAAGTTAGATAATTTAATTGTCTTCATGATTTGTAGAGACTTGTATCAATGAACATGCCACTGAATAGTGATGGTACAGTTATGTTCAATGCAACTCTATTTGCTGTTGTTCGAACATCCCTTAGGATTAAAACAGAAGGAAATATTGATGATGCTAATGCCGAGCTTAGGGCAGTTATAAAGAAAATATGGAAACGAACAAGCCCAAAATTATTGGATCAAGTGGTTCCACCACCTGGAGGTAAGAAAAGTTAAATACAATGTTTTAATAATTTATGAATTCATTATAGTTTGTATTTAAACATTCTTAGTGAAAACTTAATCTGTTTATTTTTATAATTTAGTGATTACTTTAAAGTTATTAATCTATTAGAAAAACTCTAAAACTTAGTAAGGTATTGTATATAACATCTTAATTGCTTCTGAAATAGTTATTATTTCATTACTGGATATTTAATATTTTTTCATAGATTACTCACTACTTTATAAAAAAGAAAGAAAAAATTAGCAAAACTTTTACAAAATTACTGCTTATAGTGGTCATTTAGGCAAAACATATTGGAGCAGATGAAAGCAATGTAGAAGAGCAATGACGGAGAACAAGGACGGTGTTGAATGAAGTTGCTGTGGAAGTGCTAGGATATAAACAGAGGAAAGAACAAAACAAATGGTTTTATAAAGAATATATTCAAGCAATTGGAGATAGGAATGACGCGAGAGCCAAATATTTGAAGAGGATAACTAGAGCAACAAAGGAAAATTATTTGATACAAAGAAATTTGTCGAAAGAAAAAGAGGGCATGGAAAAACAAAATCATAAAAGATATGCAAGAGCAATATGCAGCAAAAGAAACTAGGAAAAAATTTTACAAAGGAGTAAGAAATGCAAGGACCAGTTTTAAACTGCACCTAGACTATTGTAAAGATAAAAGGAGAAACTTGTTGAAATAACAGCAGAGCTACTAAAGAATGGAGGAGAAGAATTAACTAAGCAGCTCTATGACCTCATATATATGATCTGGGTGCAGGAAACCATACCTGAAGAATGGAACACTGCAGTTCTATGTCCTATTTTTAAAAAGGGGGACAAGTTGAACTGCGATAACTACAGAGGAATAGCACTACTGCCAACAGTATATAAAGTCCTTTCCATTGGTATTAGTAAGAGACTCGTGTCATGGGGAGAAAGAATTTGCGGAGACTACCAATGTGGTTTCAGGAAAAATAGATCAACAGTGGATCACATCTCTGCTGTAAGACAAATGCTAGAGAAAACATACCAACATAATGTGGATCTGCACCATGACTTTATAGATTTCAAACAGGCGAATGATTTTATAGACAGAAAGGAATTATAGAAAGCTATGAAAATGCTGGAAATTCCTGAAAAATTGATTGTATTAACAGAGATGATGCTAAGAGATACCAAATGTGAGGTCAAGAATCAAAATTTCCTCTTAAACAGTTTTGAGGTAAAACAGGGCTTGAAGCAAGGAGCCCCTATATCGCCAGTCCTCTTTAATCTAACCCTGGAGCGGGCTGTTAGAGCAATAAGGACCAATCCTGGAGGGACTATATTCAGTCGACTTACTCAATGTCTTGCATACGTGGACAATATTCTTATCAGCGCTCACACATTGTCGGCCCTTGCGGGATCTATTGAAGAATTTGGTGCAACAGCAATGCAACTTGGCCTGAGGAAAAATGAAGGGAAAAGTCCTTACATGAAGTCTTCAAAGAATAATGTAGCTATGTCTGAATATGTTCAAATTAATCAGCACCTTTTTCCAATGGGAACAGAATTCAAGTACCTCGGAGTGATAGTGACTAATCCGAACAAAATGCAGGCCAAAATAAGTGTTTTTTGCCCTGGCAAAAATACTAAAGTCCAAAAAACTGACATGAAATTAAAAACAAAATTATAAAACCATTATAAGGTGAGTCGTTACCTATGGGTGTAAAATATGTTTTTTGACACAGGAAAGTGAGAGGTTGCTGATAATCTGGGAGAGGAAAGTCCTAAGGAAAGTATACGGTCGGAAGATAGTAAATGACCAGTGGCAAATACGGAAAAATTATGAGCTCTATGAGCTGTATAAAAATGACGAGCTCTATAAAAATGATTATATTCTAGCCACTGTCAAATGAAGCCAGCTCAGATGGCTGGGTCATGTAGAGAGAATGAAGGAGAATAGGTTGCCTAGAAAACGCCTCTATAACCATCCAGGAGGAGCACATCTTAGGGGAAGACCCCGGCTGCGGCGGATAATGACATGGAGGAGCACCTCAGACACATGGGTATCAGAAGATGGAGAAGAATGATCGCCGATAGGGAAGCCTGGCAGAAAATTGTTTCTGACACCCAGGTCCATTTAGGACTGTAGAGCAAATTAATAATATTGGGGCAGTTCAATGGTTTCATTGGCAGATCCAGGAATGTTCTCGTGCACTTCCAAAACATTTGAATTCCAAACACACACACACACACACACACACATATATATATATATATATATATATATATATATTAAAAATAAAAAAAAAAAACCTGTACCACTACAACCCATTAAGGATCTTGGGTTCAGTACTACTTAGGGAAAGCACTGTTTCTAGGTCAACGGTTGTGCAAGGAGGTGATTTGACCGAGATCAAGCTCAACCTCCAGGTTTCCCCCCTTAATTAATTATTTAATTAAGGGTACCCACTTTATAGAGGCTGGGTGTGCCCCAGGAGGGTCTCCCGACCCTGAGTCACCCCACAGCCAGCGAAACAGAATAAATAAATTTTCTGCCATGAGCCGGGATTTGAACCTGGGACCTTTAGCATTGAAAACCCAGTACCCTACCACTGAACTACCCCTCTTCCATATATATATATGAATGTATATATATATAGGTGCACCCCCTCAGAACATTTCTGGATCTGCCACTAAAACCACTGAACTGCCCCAATATGTTCTCCCTAAATGACCACTATAACAGGAGAGGCTTCGGATGGAGTAGGAGAGGTGATGAACAGTTCGATCAATCATTTCTCGGGGTTGCTGAACATTGGTCTAGAGGAGGAAAATGTTTAGAATGTAGAGTGTCAGGTGTGGCAACAACAACCACTAGTTGATTAGCCTGACAGAGAAGATATCGAGTTTGTCATCATGGACTTGAAGAACTGTTAAGCCCTCAGTGAAGACAGGATCATTGGAGAATTGATTAAAGGCTGCAGTGGTAAAATGAAGGCCCTAATATATGATTATAATAATATCTGTGATTATATGTGAGATATATTGATCTGTGACATATGGAGAGAGGAAAAGATGCTGGATGATTGGATTAATATGCCGTATTCTTAAAAAAGGTAGCAAGGATTAGTACACAAATTATAGAGGAATAACCTTATTGGGAGTCCTGTATAAACTTCTTTCTAGTTTAATATTTAAAAAAGGCTGCAAAAATATGCTGAGGGAAGTTTAGATGAGATTACCAATGCAGTTTTAGAGCTGCCCAAGGTACTAAAGATCAAATTTTTTTTATAAGAAAAATGATGGAAAAATACTATGAATATAATATTGATCTCCACTTATTATTCGTTGACTACGAGCAGGCATTTGATAGTATCAAGAGATTAGCACAGTTAAGAATGCTAATGAAAAATTGAATGCTGCGTAAATTAATTAATTTAGTATGCATGACCATGGAAAATGCATCATCCAAAGTTGTTATTTGAAATAAAGTTGGTCGATTGTTCAAGGTACAGTTTGGAGTGTGTCAAGGAGACGCCTTATAGGCAATTCTATTGAACAGTTCTACATACTACTCTGAAAGATGAAGCTAAAAAATGCACTATCATTGATAAGATCTGGCAAATTTGTACTTACCCTGATGACCTGGTGATTGCTGCCCGAAGTGAAAAGGCGAAATACGAAAATGGAAACAAAGTTGGGCTTGTGGTCAATGAAAAAAATAATTAAATACCTAAAACTTTCCTCGACAGCAAGATGCTGTAGTAAAATCAAAATAAGGAATTTCAGGTTTGAAAATGTACCCACATTTGTGTATCTCAATTCTGCCCTAAATAATGAAAACTTTATCAGCAGAGAACTCAACAACAGAATAATGGCTGGTAATAGAGCCTACGAGTCTACTATGCAAACCTTAAATCTCTCAAGTTTCCATATAAGTAGTAGCAACAATTTGAATTTTATTGATACTAATAATATTTGTCAATAATTAATGGCTATGCTTCATAATTTAGATAAAAATTTGAAGATCAAATTAGAATCTGATAATAAAACAAAAATATTGAAACTAGATAGTGAAAACCTAGGAATCCAAATTATTGTAAATGTAAATTAAGTTCAACAAACTACACTGGTTAAAAAAGCTTCCTTTGGTCACTCAGAAAGTGACGAGAAACAAACTATTACTGAAGGGCTAAGAAAAATCAATTCTTCAATTGATAATGGATTAGTGATTCTCATAAGATAAGAGAAGAAGCCCTTGAAGAAAAATTAGTGACAGCAGAAGTCCCAATAGAAACTCATTCAGTTAATCTTATAAATACTAAGAAAGAACTTCTCAAGTTTCAAATCTAGTTCAAAGAGGTAAAACCCAGCAGAGAAAAGTATGATAATTCTTTTAATCTAGAAATGATTTTAATTCCAGGAATGACAACTTTATGATTAAAAGATGAGTTAAAATTTGATGACTGAAAAAGGTCCTTTACTTCGTTCAAATTACATAGCCTACAGTTTTCTTTAGGTTTAAAATGGTAATATATATTATTAAATGTTAATTTAATATGGTAATTTCCAGATAGCCTTATTTGGGTTAATGTTTTTGTCATGGGGAACGGGGCATTTAACGCAAGATAAGGTTGATGCTTACTCTATAAACACGATTTGATAAGATGGGCTGTATCTAGTGGGGAAGACCAGTATTTGTTTATAGCGCCCCTCCATGTAGCTTTTAAATAGGATCAGGGTTTCATTCGTTTCTACCTTTTTCATATTTTCGTCCGGTGACCAATTTATAATCCTTTCCGCCATCATTATCTACCTCATTCCGTCAATATGACCAGGCATTACTTAAAATTGAAAATGTTCAATCCTTTAGTAAATTGTTTTATTATACAAAACAATGTTGTAGGGTAAAATCATTTATTGCCAATGAATTTCAGTACAGTAATTTTGATTAGATTTTTATTATATATATATATATATATATATATATGGGGGGCTGGGGTAGCCGTATAGGCTGAGGCGCTTGCCATAGGTAATCAAAGTTAAGCAACGTCGAGCGTGGTTAGTACTTGGATGGGTGACCGCTGGATTTCGGTGACCGTCCACCAGGGAAAGCCATGCTGCCTGAGTTTCTTCCCTCCCCCCAGGTATGTGAGACCAGTCAGCCTACTGGAGGTAACTCACACCGACCGGGTGTAGGACTGATGACCCTACCCCGTTTACTTAAATCGGGAATCGGGATGTGGTTTACCAGGATGTTAATAGCCCCCTGAAGTTCGGTCCATGGACGGTCTGTTTTGGGGGAAGAAATATAGGTCCTCGTGCACTTGCTGACTCCGAGCAGCCATAATCCATGGATCTAGACCGACTTGTCACTGTCCTTGAACACGAGAAAGTCGGTGGGAAGGACATTGCCAGATTGGCCCCAAAGGGATCAGCTATGGAGCTACTGAGTACTAAAATGGCAGTCCAAATTCCTTAACTGGATGATTCATGTTAATCAACCTAAAACACAACGTTTTTGCATATTTTTTTCTAAAAATTCAATTAAAAATAGTTTCCAAGTGATATGGGCACTCTAGCAACTACTTTCAACTACAATATTAAGAGATTTTGCCAATAAATGAAGAATTTTTAGTGTAAATATTCAGACTTTTTAAAGTATTTATTGCTTTTGAATACAGAGTATAAATAAAAATGATTTGTTTAATACTATTCACTTTTCAATCAAAATAATAATAATAAAAGTGTGGGTTGTTTATTTATTTTTTTAAGATAAAATTTGTTCTCACCTCCCGGGGGGAGGGAGGTCTTGTTTGTAAATTTGCTTTGCCCCCCCCCCCCCTCACGCTCTTCCCATGGATTTTCTAGTGCATGGTTTAGTCAGAATAGTTTGAATCTGGCATATGAGGGTCAAATTTTATTTTATGGCAAACTCATGTAATAAAGCTCAACCTTTATACTCAGATTGGAATAAGAAGAGACAAAAAATGAACATTACTTATGAATTTTAACATTTTATTTAGTTTTAATTTAAAGATGATTAATATTGTTAGCTAATTTTTGTTTGTTTCATTTTTAAGTTGCATGGCGAAGGATACATTACATATACTTATTTCTGTTCTAGTTGATGATGAAGTCACTGTAGGAAAGTTCTATGCCACTTTTCTTATCCAAGATTATTTTAGGAGGTTTAAAAAAAGGAAAGAGCAGGAATTAAGGGATGGTGATAAAGAATCACATAACACAGTAACATTGCAGGTAATGACCTATATTTTAACTTTTTACTACCAGAGAAATAATCTTTGTTTATATTTATTTTTTATATATAGCATTTCCTAGTCAATTTCAACCTTTTCCAAATCATCAACCTCTTCCAAGTCAAATTCAACCTTTTCCATTTCAAATTCAACTTTCGAATATTTGTAAATTTTAGAAATAAAGGCCACTTGCTATATTATCGAAGGCATAGCTTTAGAAAAATACAAAAAATTAGTAGTAGTAGACCCTTATATTGAATAAATCCAAAAAACTTAAATAAGTCTAAACGCAGTGGTGTAATCTTAAAATGGAGGTCATTTAAAAAAACTAGGCATAGGATAACTGACCCACACATCGAAAAATTAAAACTAATTAAATAAGTAAAAAAAGGTTGTATTTGAAATGGAAAAGGTTGAATTTGACTTGAAAAAGTTTAATTTGATTTGGAAAAGGTTGAATTTGACTTGGAAAAGGTTGAAATTGACTTGGAAATGCTATATAAGTGTTTGTGAAATCAGATTGAAGTGTTCTTCTTTTGTTACAAACTTTAAAATTATTCCAATTTTCGGTCTATGTTTTATAATATAGCAAGATTTTGCAAAGCCAGAAGTTGCCGATGTTGCCAGCAACTATTCACCAAACAAAATCTATAAGATTAGTCTTAACTACTCCCTTATATTTGGTTCAGTTCAAATCTCAGGTATTCATCCACTGGTTCTATGATGATTATCTTTCTAATTATCATCCAGCACAACTTTACCTGTTGATTTTTTTTCTTTCCAGATGGTTCCACATGTATTATATATACCAGATGTAGGTCACACATTCATCATTGTGTAATCAAATTTCAATTTAAATCATTTTTTTGAGCACAATATTTAATGGAACACTCACTTTCCCAAAACCTCTGGGCTTTGTTCTTCCCTTGCAGGTTCACATAACAAATAAACTACTTAAAGCTGTATTAATAGTGTTTTAAATTCTTACTTTCAGGTTTTTGATTACTGGAATTTGCCCGTGCACATTCTTACTTATTTTTTGTGTATATCCCCTCCTATATCAAATTCTTACATAAGTTTTGGTGATCAATAGAATCATATTCCTTTTCAAATTAACAATATGGGTCTGCTGGTGAAGAACATGTTTTAATTCTGTGTTCTCTTTGCTTCATTTAATTTTTCATAATAGGCTCAACACATTGATATTAACGCTGTGAAAATAGTGTTTTGCAATTAAGAACAGTGCCTATGCAAACAGAAATAACTTATGAAATTTCTTATTTACTTACCTAGTTGTCATAAATAAATTAATTTATTTATTTTATTACAGGCTGGCTTGAGGACGTTACATGATGCAGGACCAGAATTGAAAAGAGCTATATCTGGTAACTTGGAAGAGCTTGCTGATGATAATCCTGAACCAATGCACAGGGTATTTAATATTTAAATAAATTTTCATTCTAGCAAGCACCTTTTAAATTAATAAACATTGCGTGAAAGAGTTGATAGAAAATTGATTAATATTACCCCACTGTTAAAGTTATCAAACTCTGCCTTCCAGCCTTATTCCCAACACTTCCACACATATATAATTTCTCTCTCCAAAATTCCATTTTTCCCAAATCCTGGAAAAGAGCAATAGTCCATCCATTGAACAAAGTTTTTACTCCTTCATCAGCTTCAGATTTCAGACCCATCTTCATTTTATCCAATCTATCCAAGCCTCTAGAAAGATTAGTCCATTCTCAGTTGAACAGCTGTCTAGAGCACAACCTCCTTTACAATCTGATTTATTTTCCTATTATTCTACCCAGTCTGCCTTGCTAAAGATTACCTAAGACATCCAATCAAACATAGAAAAACAGGAAATCTCCATCTTAATCCTTTTTGACTTTTCCAAAGCTTTTGATTCTATCAATCATCAGATCCTCCTTTCCAAACTCCAAAGCCTGCCCATATCACATAGCGTCCTAAAATGGTTCCTTTCCTTCTTATCCAATCTCAGACAGTTGTAATTCTGAACAAACCTCCATCATCACCCCTTCAATTAACACAAGGTGTACCTCACTCTCTCCGACCCTTTTCTCAATTTATATTAGTGACCTTCCTGACGCCATTCAACATTCCGGTTACCACCTATATGTTGATGATTTCCAAATTTACCAACCTTCTGAGATGCCTGAGACTACCCAAAAGCTACAAGAGGATATTGACTGCATCAACAGATGGGTAGAAATGAATGAGTTAAAGCTAAATGCAGATATAACTAAGGCTATTCTCATCGGGTCAAGACATCTCATTAGCTCTCTTCCTTACTTTCCTCTACTTTACCTCAATAACTGTCCCATCCATTTTTTCCCTTCAGTCAAAAACCTAGGAGTAACCTTTGACCAGAACGTCTCTTGGCATAACCATATCTCCCAGATTACCTGAAAATCCATAACTGTCCTTAAACAACTCCTAAGATTCCATGATTATATTTCTCTAACCTTCTTGTAACCTCCCTTGTATTCCACCACTTCAATTATGGCTGCTTGGTGTATGGAGGGCTATCTGCCAGGCTAGAAATGAAACTGAAGAAACTCATGAACTGTTTTATAAGATATATCTTTTGGGATCCCCAGGCGTTCTCATGTTTCATTCTGGTACAACGAGCTGAAGTGTCTTTATCCTTTTTTATGTCCTCAGAACCAAAAACCCTCCCTACATCCTGGAACTCCTTACTATACATTCCTCTATCCACTCTCTCAATACCAGGTCTCAACCTATAGATTAATATATCCCCTCCCATAAAACTAATTCCTTATTCCTTAATTATTGAAAATGTTCTTCCCATTCTAGTCATGCTGATCCAAGTAGACCATTTTTCCACCGGACCACTTTAAAAAAAAGAACAAGAAAAGTAAATTTTATCCTGGTACATTTTGTTCCCTAAGAATGAGAATAATGAACAATAGAAGTGTCATTTGTCTTGTGTAAAATAACAAGAAATGATTAAAATACAGAGTAATGTAACCTTAGAATTAATATAAAAGATAAGCATAAGTAAAGAAATAAAATTATAGCTAAATAAATATCAGTATATTTACATAGATAAGCAACATAGATAATATATAGATAACTGTGAAATAACACTAAAATGAGGCTGACAACACTTAAATACAAAAATTGAATTCTTACATATATTTGGAAGATTGATTGCTGAGAAGATGGATGAATAATTGATGCTTAAAAGAAGTAAAGATAAGGTTTTGCAAATGAATAAATTCCAAAACAAGGTAGCATGCATTGTAAAGGATTTTTTTTAAAGGGAGAAGTTCTATGAGAAGGAATATACAGATTTGTGGGTAGGGATCTTTTGTTTAGAGAATGGATAAAGGAACAAGGAATTTGAAAATCCTCCATATATGAGGCAGCCATAATCAAAGTGGAAAAAAATGAGAGAGGAATCTAGAAGCTGCGAGTTTTAACGAGTATGGAATCACAGAATCTCAGGAACTGTTTGAGGGTACCATAGGTTTTCGGATAATTTGAGAAATATAATTATTCCAAGACAGGTATTGATCAAAAATCACCAAGATTTCTAATGGAAGTATGGAAAAGAATAGGTAGTCCATAGAGGTAGAGTAGAGGATAATAAGGAAAGGAATTAATACGTTCTACCTCAAATAATTGCTTACTGCCTAAACTGTTTCTTGTTGTGTTTGAATTGCTTCAAGCATCTTGGTAGGATGGAAAGAAAGGTAGATTTGGAGAATGTCAGCATACAAGTGGTATTATGAATGATAAATGGAATCAAGAAGGTTATTAATGTCTGTACCCCGGAGATAAACAACACCATGTCCATTTTTATGTTTGTTCTAGGGAGCCAACATTCCATAACTTTGTGCTATTAAAACTTGTTTCTTTGTTACTAAATCTGTACTCCGGAGGTAAAGGACACTATGTCACATTTTTGTATTTGTTCTGGGAGCCAATTTTCCATAACTGAGCTATTAAAATTTTTTTCTTCGTTATTAAATTATTTAGTCAAAAACTTGTACATGCTATCTTGTTTCTCCTGATCAACTGAATTCCTACTTTGCCGATCCTATCTCAACACCATTCTCCTCCTCATAAGTTTCTGACTTCAGATGTAATTCCATTCTTTCCATTCTTCAAAACCTCTGGAAAGACTAATACATTCACAGCTTAATAGCTTTCTTGAACAAAAGGCTCTCCTCTACCCCCTCCAGTCTCGTTTCCGATCCTAGTATTTCACACAATCTGGTTTGTTGAAAATTACCCAAAACATTCAATTCTCCATAGGCAAACAGAAAATCTCTAACCATGGATCAAGTCGGACATAAGGAGGGCGGTATGTAATGATATAGAGAAAAGAAAATGAATCTGAGGAACTTTCTATGAATATATATTCTAAATGAGGAATGTTGGGAGAGGGATAATTGTGAAGGATTTTTCCCTTATACTTTAATGAACGTAAGGACAAACACCCTAACCATAATTTATGAAACCTGCTTCTTAATGATCGTAAGGACAAACACCCTAACCATAATTTATGAAGCCTGCTTCTATTCTGCTAACTTAACTGAAAAACTAGCTTCATTATTTCTTCAGTGCTCCTCCAATATGCATCTCACCTGTAGAATGGAAAATATCTTTTTTTGCATTGGCTCTGGCATTGTTGTATTCTTTGTTGTTTTAATGTGATTGATATCATCACATTTTATTGTCCTTTGGGGTTGTATTAAAACCAACCATAGTATGTATAAGGTAGATCAATGGATACTGTTCAGAGGTACCCAGACGGGGATTTCATGGCACAGATTGGACCATCTAAATTTTTGAGGGGGAAACATTTTAACTGGATTTTGAATTTTGAGGGGAGTACATTTCGACGGGATTATGAAATTTCTGATTGAAAAGTTTCAAACCCGGAAACAAAGGGAATATATAGAACAAACCTCAGCAAGTTTAATTGTATATGACCAACAATAATTTTATTTCTAAGGTTTTTAAGAAGAGGAGAGCAATATAACATCTTGGGGAGAGGAAAGGGGAGGATCATGCACCATTGACCTTGGGGGAGATGGGCACCCCTGATACTGTTGATTTCTAAATCTTTTTAGGAAAAGTATGGCAGAAGTTTTCAGGCTTATTAAATTATTTGCACTTGAAAACATTTTATTTTTTTCATGTTTTCCTCAACTGTTTATTAATTTTACTATTTCACAACTGCTAATAAATGTTTACAAGTCTTGGAATAATAATAATTAGTTCAAAGTTGTTAATTTATATTAATTTTTAAGACATGATTGTCAGTTAGAAATAATCTTCTATATGATAATTGATACTTTGTTGCAGCGAAACCATTCACTATTTGGAAGTGTGTGGTCTTCAATGCGCCGCAGACATGGTAGTATAAACAGAGCCAGATCTCTAAAGTCTACTCCTGCCAATACAAAGGTGATTAAAAATGAAATTTTCAAAAATCCATTACTTATAGTTTGTATTATATAACTATGTTATATGTTAACTTATTAGAATTAGATTTGTATGTTTATCATTATTATTTTTCATTTTAATTATAAGATCCTTTTCAAGCATTTTGGGGGAACATTATTATAAAATCAACTACACACAAGTAAATAAAGTACATTTATAAACCATGTTAAGAACTGTCAAAAATTCTTTAATATTAATTTATATTCACTAAAATATTAAAAATAATTGTTTACTGACTTTAAATGTTTCTAATAATTTCAATTACAAAATACCCAAAACATTTTTTTTTCTGGACATATTAAATACATTTTACTAAATATACTGGCCATACTAAAATCAATTTAACTCCATTTTCATTGGCATGAAAAAATAATAATAATTTTATGAATTTTAAATTTCATAGTTTTGGTTATTTGAATGTTTATTTTCAATGTTTACTAATTTTTTTTAACTGAATAAATTAGGCTTTTTTAATTAGTACTGTTCTTGGGCCTAGATTAGATCAAAAGAATGGTGATTAAATTTTGATTTAAATGTTGGTTGTTCATTTGTTTTTATGCTCAAACTCCTCTGTTTACAGTAATTATTTATAGCATAGTAGAATTGTGTAGATTTATTTTATTTCAACCAGTAATTTTAGGTTTTATTATCTAATGTTACTTCATAGATAAACTGAAGTATTTACAATCTTATTAGTACTTAGCTTATATAATATTATATATATATTATATATATATATATATATATATATATATATATATATATATATATATATATATATATATATATATAGATAGATAGATAGAAGAAAATAATTTTATTCTGGGACACAGTCCCTTGAGAATAACAAAATAGAACAAAATTAAAAGATCACATCTGGCCAAAATAAAATCAATCGAAAAAAAGAAATAATGTAAAAAAAATATAAGGTAAACATTCTATATAAAAAAAAACGAAACTATATACAAAACAATTAATACTATGACAAGGCACTTAAAGCTATTTGCACTAGTATACACTTTTAAGAAAATAATAAAGAATTAAAAAATAAAAATGTATCAATGAATCAATCAATGAATTGTATGTATCAAATTCTCTATTAAAATCAGCTCGAATGGTTAGCAACTATCTGACTGTTCTTGGGATAGGAATTGGAATAGGAGGGTTTTGAATTTGGATATGGATGGGGAATGTCGAATTTTGATAGGGAGGGAATTCCAGAAATTGACAGAGCGAACAACAAAGGAATTTTGGAATGAGGCAGATCTGTGAGAAGGCATGTAAAGATTAGAAGGTCGAGATCTTGTGGACAGGGAATGGACTGAGGATTTGAACTGGAGAAGATTGTAGGCGTAAGAAGGACGATGGCTGTTGATGATTTGGTAGAGGAACGTACCTAGGAAATATTGTCTTCGGAAGGAGGGGAAAAGCCACTTTAACTCAGCATAGTGGTGAGAAACATGGGAGTATCTTGGGGCTCCGATCACAAATCTTACACAGCTGTTCATTAGTCTTTTCAGTCTATCACGGAGCTCCACAGAGAGGCCATCATACACCACACAGCTATAGTCAAAGTGGGGGAAAATGAGAGAGGAAACTAGGAGTCTACGCGTATGTTGAGGTAGGAGATGGCGGAAGCGATGGAATAGTTTGAGGGTGGAAATTGTCCGTCGAGAGATATGAGAAATATGGTGATTCCAAAGGAGGTTTTGATCAATGAAAAATCCTAAGTTTTTAACAGAGGAGTAGAAGGAGATTGGCTGGTCATTAAGGTGAAGGATGGGAAAGTCTGGATGGGATCTAAGAAGGGGCTTGGAAGCAATGACAATGGCCTGAGTTTTGGCGGCATTTAACCTTAATCCATTTACATTTGCCCAGGCACTGATTCGATCTAGGTCTTCTTGGATCTTGGCAAATGCCCCCAGTAACTCAGGAGGGGAAAATGATAGGTAGATCTGTGAATCGTCTGCATAAAGGTGATGGGAACAATGGAGAATTGATTTAGGTAGGTCGTTAATGTAGGAGCTGAAAAGGAGAGGAGATATGCTTGAACCCTGGGCAACTCCAGAGGATAAAGAAAGGAAGGCAGATAGTGGTTGGTTGGGTATGGAGACTGCTTGGGTACGTTGTGAGAGGAAAGATTGAAACCAAGAGATGGAACTATTGGAGAAGGATAATAATTTCAGTTTGTTGAAAAGGATGGAATGGTTAATGGAATCGAAGGCTTTGGAGAAGTCGAGAAGGATAAGGATGGTTAACTTTTTATCATCTATTGCAGTTTGAATGTCGTTGGTGATTTTAATTAAGGCGGATTGTGTGGAGTAGCTGGGACGGAAACCAGATTGGAGAGGATCAAGTTGGTTGGACTTTTCAAGGAAGTTGGAGACTTGGGATTGCACCAATCTTTCTAGGGGTTTCGAGAGGTTGGAAAGAATTGAGATTGGGCGGAAATCTTCGGGTGAGGTCGGATTAGAATTTTTATTTAAAGGAAGGACAATGGCTTGTTTCCAAGATGTAGGGAATACTGAATTCTGAAGGGAGAAATTGTAGATGAAAAGAAGGACTGGGAGGATTTCAGGAAGACATAATTTTATTAGTTTGACAGGGATGCCGTCAGGTCCTAGGGAATTGGTGTGGGATTTCATTACAGCGGTTAAAAGGTCTGTAGGGGAAATGTCGGAAAAATAAAAGTTATTGTCGTTAAATGGTATCTCTATTGGGAAGTCGGAACAGGAGGATAAAGGAGAGGTATTAACAACAGATATAAAATGCGAGTTTAGATCATCAGGGGATATTGGAAAGGCTGGAGTAGGGGATCGGGAAGGATCACAAAGGGAGAGTTTACGAAGCAGTCGCCATTTTGATTTTATGTCAGGAGTTGAGGAAAGGGCTTCGTGGAAGTAGAGGGACTTCGCACGCTGGATCCTTGTTTGTGTCAAGTTGCGAAGCACCCTGAACGCTTGGTAGTCATCTGCAAGCCTAGTACATCTGAAGCGTCTACGAGCAGCGTCGCGCCTCTTCTGCAGGTCTTTAATTTCCTGACACATCCAAGGAGCAGGCCGGTGACGAAATGTAGAGGTTTTGAGAGGGGCATGGGTATTGAGGATATTGAGGAGATTAGTAGTAAGAATATCGACCATAGAGTCGATAGAGTCCGCCCTATATATATGATTTTATTTTTTTTAGTGTTGACATTACAGTCCTTGTATATCTTTTGCCACTTTAGTCAGTTTTCTCCATCTCTGCCTATCTGGGGCTATTTTTTCCAGTTATCTACATGCAGCTCTACTGTGTCTTGGGTGATTGGATCTATCCATCTGGTTTTTGGCCTTCCATATTGTCTCTTGTCTACTATTAAGGCATTCATTGTTGTGTAGAGGCTTTCTGATGTATTGTTCTGAGCTAAATATCCCACCCATATTAATCTCCTATTAAGGGCAGTACAAGACACTTATTTTGAGTGTTCTAGATATATCCCGGTTTCGAAATATTTTTATTAGAGACCAGTAGCACTGATTGCCAGCTGTTATTCTTGCCTTAATTTCTTCTCTAATCTTATTATCCTCAGTGCCTAAATACTTAAACTGCGGTACTCTCTCGAAATGATATCCAGCCCCCTCGATATGCCTGTTTCCTTCATCTTCCTTGCTGGTCCTCATTTTAGTTTTTTCTGTATTAATTACTAGTCCTGTTCTACTAGCGGCTACTTTACACTTCTTGAATGTTCCAAGTAATGAACTAACTGTTCTTCTGGTAATCTCAATATCATCTGCAAACACTAGATGTTGTGACAGTTTGTGGTAGATACATTATCCAGATTTTGTCCGGAGTGACCTAATGACCACTTCTAATGCCATATTGAATAAAACCAATAAAATATTGAATAAAGCCACCAACTTATCAAAAAAAGGTGATGGTTACTTTTTGGTGGTTTTATTTGGTTTGATACACTACAGCTTTTTAAATCTGGGAGAAACCATCAATGGCAAATCGTATTGTAATGAAATTAATGCTGTGCGTCAGAAATTGGCAATAATGTAGACATCTTTGATCAATCGGAAGGGGCCCATTTTGTTTCATGATAACACCCAGCCACATGTCTCATGTTTGATGTCCCAAAAATCGATGCAGCTTGGATATGAAACTCTGCTATATCCGCCCTACTCTCACAACCTCTCATCTACGGATTATCATTTTTTTAGACACCTGGACCACTACTTACGTGACTAAATTTAATGGATAAAGGAAATTATAAAATGCGTTTTTAGAGTTTATCAATTCTAAAGAAGGGAAATTCTATTCTGAGGGAATGGAAAAGTTTACATGTTGGCAAAAATTTATTGATAATAGTGTCCACTATTTTGATTAAATTAAATAAAACAGTTGTAAATTCTTCTTTTTTTCTTTTTAAATCAAAATCCTGCATTATTTTCCGGACAACTCAATATGTATATATATATATATATATATATATATATATATATTTTTTTTTTTTTTTTTTTTTTTGTTGGTGCTACAGACCATGAAGATCTTTGACCGCGAGATGTGGTCTCCTAGACTACATCCCGATTCCCGATTTAAGTACATGGGGGTAGGATCATCAGTCCTACGCCCAGTCGGTGTGAGTTGCCTCCAGTAGGCTGACAGGGCTCACATACCATGGGGGGAGATCCCGGGCAGCATGGATGGTCACCCAAATCGAGCAGTCACCAATCCAAGTGCTAACCTCGCTCGGCATTGCTTAACTTTGGTTACCTATTGCAAGCGCCTTAGCCCTTATCTACCCCAACCCGATATATAATATATATATATATTATTATTAAAAAAACACAAATCTTATATATATATATATATACATACACAGGGTGTCCTGTAAGTAGAGGGAAATTTGTAAAAAGGCGATAGCAGAAATTGAGATCTACAAAAAAGCTTATATAAACAATTACCCAATTTTGAGCAGAAATATAGAAAATTTAAGATTTGTGTTTTTTTAAGCGAGTCACGTTTATTGTTGAATAGGAAGCAATAACATAAAATATATTTGATTTAAGTAACTAAACATTGCTCCATATTAAACTAGATAAAATTTACTTTAAACAAAAGTAAAGTTTGTCATTGTTAAAACTATTTAAAGAGGACTATTGGGCGGACAGACACAGCTAAGTTTTGTTTTTAAAAAAATTATTAATTATTTGTGATTTTTTTTATCAACCTTTAATAGTACTACATTTACTCCACTTTCACAAAAACTTCCTCATTTAACAAACTTTAAGTCCATATTAATTAAGTTGACATTTATCAGGAATGATTTTGAGATTCACCTCAATTGTCTAATGAAATGATGAGATTTCCTACCCAGTCTCCTAAAAGTACCCATGTTTTCTGCAAAAATGACTACAATTTTTCGTTTTACAATCGCCTGCATTTTGCAAAATGACTGCAAATTTCATTTTATGATTCGATGTGCAATGATAGATATATGAAATTATAAATAAATTCTGATGTGTCAGTTCACATATTTGTACACATTAATAATGTGGATGATAATTATCTGTAGGATAACATTAAATGCCACTGATAGGTCTGAAAAACATGAACATTATTTTTCACATATTGAGAAGATTGATTGCTGAGGAGATGTATAAACAAATTATGTTTAAATGAGGTCAAGGATGAGGATTTGTGTATGGAGGTTGGTAGGGAGTTCCAAAACAAGGTAGCACGTATGGCAAAGGATTTTTCAAAGGATCCATTCTTTTTAACCTTTCAAAACGTCTGGAAAGACTAATTTGTGAAATATGATTATTCCAGGACAAATATTGATCAAACACTACTCCAAGGTTTCTAACAGAAGTGTGGAAACGGATAGGTAGGCCATTGAGGTAGAGTAAGGGATAATAAGGAATGGAATTAATCAGATGCTTGAAATCAACGAGAATGACTTTTTTCTTCTCAACTCAGCTTTAAATCATTACAAACTGACCAAGTATCAATGTCTTCTTGAAGCCTTTGGATCGCCTCATGCATCTTGGTAGGATGAAAGGAAAGGTATATTTGGAGATCATCAGTGTATAAGTGATATTGTGAATGAAGGATGGAATCAGGAAGGTTGTTGATGTAGATAGAGAAAAGAGTTGGAGAGAGAGAAGATCCCTGAGGAACATCATGGGATAGTAAGAGGGGCAGGAAGGAGTTTTATTAGGTGTGATGACTGTTTGGGATCTTTGATACAAGAAGGAATGGAACCACTTTAGAGCACTATTTGATATGGAAAGGTTTTGGAGTTTTGAAAGGAGGATTTCATGATTGACTGAATCAAATGCTTTTGAGAAATCAAAGAGGATCAGGATAGTGATTTTTGTTTGTCTATGGAGAAATGAAGGTCTTGAGTAATTTTCTACAAAGCAGACTGGGTAGAGAACTGGGATCAGAAACCAGACTAGAGTTGATTGAGGAGAGCTTTTTTTTCTAGGAAGTTGTTAAGCTGTAAATGGACAATTCTTTCAAGAGGTTGTGAGAGGTTGGAGAGACTAGAGATGGGTCTGAAATCAGAAACTTTGGAGGGAAGTGGAACTTTGTTCAACGGACGGACAATAACTTTTTTCCAGGCTGATTTTGTGAGGAATTTTGTAAGAAAAAATTGTAGATATGCAGTAGGATAAGAAAGATAACAGGAAGACATAGTTTGATTAACTTTACACAAACTAGATCCGGGCCATAGTAATTTTTTCTGGAGTTTAGGATAGAGGAAAGTAGGTCTTCTAGTAAAATAATTGCAAAATAGAAATTTTCAAGATCAAAGGAAATTTTTGGGATGCAGTATGAGGAGGAAAGTGATAATGAGTTAGGGTTGGCAAAGTGGGAATTCAGTTGATTGGAAGAAACAGGGTAGGATGTAAAGGTTTTTGACTTAACTACGGAGAGATTTTTCATTTGGACTTAGGATCTGGGGAATCTCTTGTGATAAGGAAGTATAAAAGAATTGTGCCTTAGCACGTCGCAAGGAAGACTGGGTTAGGTTTCGAAGAGTCTTGAAAGAGAAGTAATCATCCGGATTACGTGTGCGTCTAAAACGCCTTCTTGCAGAGTCTGTTATTCTCATTAATTCTCTTATTTCTGGATTAATCCAGGGAGCAGGAGGGCGTTTGAAGGTTGAGGTCTTTAATGGTGAGTGTTGATTTAGGAATAGAAGAAGATTAGAGGAAAAACACTCCATAATTTCATCAATAGAGGAATAGGAATATATGGGATCTAAGGATTCGGCTAGAGATTCAAGGAAAGGATTTAGTTTTTCAGAGATCAATGAGCCAAAATCTCGCCATGTGATTTGTCTGGGAATGAACTTAGAAGTCGGGACGTTATAAGAAATCTTGATGAGATCATGATATGAAAGGAATGAGACCTGATTCTGGGAGGAGGACAATAAGTTTTGAAAGGAGTCAATTAAAAAAAGATCAAGCCATGTACTTGAGAACTGAGTATGGTGAGTAGGTTGAAAAGGAACAATAAATATGTCAAGAGAATGGATTATATATATATATATGTGTGTGTGTGTGTGTGTGTGTGTGTGTGTGTGTACGCACGTGTATGTGCACTTATAATCACATTTTAATAACTAAAACATCTAATCTTATTTCAGTAAATGTTTGGAAAGGATCTTAAATTATATAGAATTAGAAAAGAATATCCATATATAAAGAGTGATAGATATACATTTATATAAGAGATGGGTTGGAATGTAAACATCTTATAATTTGTTAATTATATCAACTAGTAACAGGTACACTAGAATGTGATTTACTGAAAGTATTTGATGCTTTTAGTCACAGTTTAGGACAATTAGAACAGTCGTAAGCATATACTTAAAATTTATTGGTTGAATGAAATTCTCTTTTGTCTGTGCCATGAACTTGATATTTAATACCGCTATTTATAACATCTGAATCATGATACAGGACCTTTTGATGTCTCACTACTTCAGAAAACTGAAAACATTTTGGTTGATCAATAGTTAGCGGTAGGTACATAAAACTAATATCAGGGAGATATTTTGGGCAGGTGGTTTATAGTTGTAACCAGTGACTAAAAATTATGAGTTATAGTTTAGGAACAGAAATACAATTAGTCACTGATACGACTAGTGGCTGTAGCAACCCATCTCTTTTATATATATAAATATAAGTGATCAATTATAATGCATTGGTAGAAGGTGCATATGAAGATTTCTCTAAGATGGTAGATTTTTACTATTCCATTGTTTAAAAACAAAAAAAAATGAGTGAATGAATACTTCTGTATTAAAGGGTTGACTGTGTACCAAGGATTTTTAAAAACTGTTTGTGAATAACTAACTTCACACCTATATACATTGGAAATAATGTTTTACGTTACACTTATCTTTCTTTAGATGAATCACTTGGATTTACCCGGGAGAAATCTTAGAAAGGTAGTTTTTGTTTGAGTATTAACTAGAAAAAAAAATTAACAGAGTTTTAATATAGCTTTAGTGGATTGTTAAGCCTATCTTGAACACCTGTTATTCTTTTTTTTTTTAATGTTACTTTTGTTTTATTTTGTTGTTATGTTTGTAGAATGAAGAGCACTGTCTATTAGCTAATTCATTACACTCTAAATAAGGTCTAGTTTACATGGGCTTAGTACTAACAATCAGTACTAAGCACTTTCGCTGATTCTGTAGAATAAATAGAAACATGAATGATTGGACCTAAGCATTAATAAAGCAGGAAATGGGAGAGAATAAACTACAAAATCAATATTTAGGTTATGCAGGTGTAAATTCATAAATATTTTATTTAATAAATGTTCAAAATTATCAGGAACCATTCATTTTTTAACTCTTCAGCTGATCCTCTGCAGTAAGCTCTTCTAAAAGTCTGGCCATGGGCATCTATTTCAAGAAAATATTTTCTTGTCCATGCACATTTACCTACATTGTATCTCTTTTTAATTTTCTTCAAGATCGTCTATTAATGCTGTGGTAATTTTGTTTAAATCAAGATGATCATTTAATATAACCACTGATTCTGTACACACTGATCTCTTCTTTTTCACTCCCAAATTGTTTAAACCTCTGTTAAGCATTCAGTAGTCTAGTTCTGAACATGAGTGAAAAGTAATTGAATTATTGGAACTAAGCCGGTGTAAATTAGGCCTAAAATAACAGCTGTTAATTTAGGAGTCATGTTGCTAATTTCAATGAAAATCAAACGACTAATTGCATGAATTAACATAATTTTATTTGAATTTAACAATTTTGTATCATTTAATGCAGAAGTAGAGATATTAAGAAAGAGACTGATTAGAAATAACTTTTGAGGCTTGGTTCAGTGCTGTCAAAATGTTTCGCTTTGTGTTGGATGATGCTATAAATAATTTTTCTTTTCACAAGATTGGTCTAAAATTAGAATTAAGCACTTTACAAAGTTGTTATTTGTAAGAGGTAATCTTATAAAAAAGATAATTTTTAATAATAATTATAATAATGATGTTTCAGCTAATAGTTTAATTTCAATAAGAATTTGGTTTTTCTCTTTAATATATTAGTTTAAGATAGAATCCCAAAATGATTGAGTGAACAACAACATATGCATTCCATCCTCCTACCTTAAGAAGAAGGTTGTTTGTGTGATATTGGATGCTCGTATCATGAAATTGTATAAATTAAATACTTTTTCAGTCTTTCAATTTCTTAGAATCTTTAAGGATATTTGTTATCATTATTAAATTGATATTAGTCACTTGCATCCATCAATCGATCTCTACATTTCCATCCACAGACCGGCATCCAAACTCAACCCTACCAGATCAGTCTTTATACAATTCTCCCACCTTCACTTCGGTCTACCCCTTAGATGCTAACCAGTTGGCACAGTGCATATTAACCTTTTTGGATAAGAGGGTTGGGCTTAGTAGTTTTCCAAAAGAAAAATAACCCAAGAATTTCCTGCCTTCAGCCTTGTCTCAATTTAGTTTTTCTTGTTATTGCAGACACTAAATACTTAAACTGCTGTATATGTTCAAAAGTATTTCCTTCTATTCCTATATCACCAAAATTGTAACCGTTGTTACAGTTATCCATATATTTAGTCTTCTCCGTATTTATTTTGAGCCTCAGTTCTTACTGGCTTTCACCAACATTGTTGTCTTTATTTAGCAGTACCAAATCATCAGCATAACCGAACACGGATATTGTTATACATTTTTTCAAACCTTTTTCAGTACCTGTCCCATTCTTAATGATATGTTCTAATGCTACAAAAATTGTAAGTATATTAATTAGTAGTATTAGTAGTATATTATGTCATCATACACTCATGTTTATGTTATAATAAGTATTTAAAATTGTGGGATTGCAGGTAAAAAAAGCTCTGAATCAAAATTTGAGGTCATATTTTAAAAATTTAAAATCTTGGATCATATAAGGTGGCCACATTTTGAAAATTGCTTTAAACTCGTTCCTTGTGGATTTTTCGTGTCACTCTATCTGAATCTCAAGTATGATTTCCCAAATGATGAGTGGTGCACCAAGTTGAAATAACTAACACCTTACATTAAAAAATAAGCAACTTTTTTATAAACACCATTTTTAGATGAGGGGAAATGTGAGTTCATTAAACTCAATCAAGAATTCATAATTTGTGAAATCTTGCCTAAGATTCTGATCCAGTAAACATGGAAATTTCCCAGAAGTGAGTGTCATATAATTTCTAAATATTGATCACCATATTGGAACTAACAATGTCAATTTTTAGGATGTGACAAATAATTTAGATCCAGGGATCATAAGCAAAGATTTTCAAAGAAATTGGTAAATTAACAATTTTTTTTATAATTTTAAATATATAAAATCTGATTCAAAGTTCTTTATGACCAAAATTGAAGCAATTTCTAAAGTTCTGACCATAAACTAAATATTCCTTTTTTTTTTTTCTAACTAAGCCTTGACAATTAGTGTTTATTCATTATAGAAAAATAATTGTAGATGTTTAGATGTTCATTGTGTGCTAATATTTCACCTTAATTGTAGGCATTCTTCAGAGCTAATAAAAGATCACACAATAATAATTAAAAATAGTAGAGATAAGATATAAGAAGAATAAGTATGGTGGATTATCTCGGTAAATTTGACAAAAATTATAATATAATACATAAATATAATATTATATTTATGTATTCTATTTTAGTTTTGTGATATGTCTATGTGAAATTAGTTGGTGTGGGTGATCATCACTCTGTTTTCCATGAGACAACATTGAAATACAATTTCAAGACTCATGGATCATTATCAGTAGCGGAATCACTGTTGTATAATTTCTTTATTCATAATTTAATAATTGCATGGATTTGAGCTATTGGAGTTCAAATAATGAAGATAAAAATTTTTAAATGCTAATTACCTGTAAAAGATCTATAAAAATTAGTCTATGGGTGGTAGTTATTCCGAAATTTATGTTTTATAAAACATATATTTTTTTTCTCTGGATTAAGTTCTGATACTTTTACATTTCAATTCCTTCAAATGAGTTTCATGTTAAAAGATTCATTTGAAATTCATTTGTAGATGAATTTTTAATTTGACGAAATCTGCTTCTTATTTTTTTACAGAGCATTATGCTTTCTAAAATAGTAATGTTTCTTATGGGGCATATATATTCACTACTTTATATAATGATTTAATAGTTGTTGTACATGGTGTCCAACAAAAATTGGCTCAAATGCTTCTCACGGCCAAACGGATGGGCTAATAAAAAATTCTAAAAGAAAAATGTGTCTATCTACTTCTATAGTTTCAACAGTTTCTAATGCTTTTTCAAATTTGATGTAACAAATGTAGCTGCTATGTGGTAAAAACTTGAAATTTGCAGATAGCACCAACTGTTAAACGTATTCATTTACAATAATTCAAAAAATTCTGAAAAACGTATTTAAATATATTTAAAATTGATGATTTTATGTTATTTTAGAATATCGTATTAATATGTTATGCATCTATCATTTCAGTACATCTATAAGAAATTCACTATCTTGAAATAAGGAAAACTTAACAAACTCCATTATCATTTTTATTCTCTATTATGATGCACTTATTTTGACATGTGGACGAATAAAACCATCATGTTCACACCTTGCTTACAGATATTAAAAATAATCTCCTCTTTAATTTTTATGCGCCTGCTTTAATAATCAGAATCATTATTTTCCATTTAACAAATATCTTAGAAAATGTATTTAGTGGATTGGAAAAAAAAAAAAATTATATGAAATCATAAAATAAAAAAAAATGTATACTAAAATATTGTTAGATCATCTTTACCTTGCTGATGTTTAATCTCTCATGATCTGAGGATTTTTTATACATTTATTTAAAGATTATCTGTCATTTTGAAAATTAAAAAATTGAAGAACATAATAATAATTTGACTTTCTTTGTTTTATTTTTTGGCTAAAATTCAGAATCCGCAGTGATTTTAATCAAGATTAATTACCATACTAACTTCAGAATTAATACACTAACTAATACATATTAGTAGTAGAGGTAGATTGACATAGCTTTTGCATGGAACTAGCTTTGATTTAGTTTAGTGGCTAGCAGCTATAAAACATACTTTCGAATTGAAGCTTTTCTAAATTTCACTATATTTATTTTACATACTTGTCATCAGACTATGAGAGAATCTAAACTGGTTGAGTTATTAATACCTAGAAAAGCTGTTATTTACTTTTTAAATATCAAATAATTTTCCATAAACTTTCTATTATCTAAAATAATTTCATTTGTTTGCATTGCTATTGTATGTTTAATTGTTTTTCTCTACAAAGATCTAATCTAATCAACAATATTCTGTCAACTGTTTACTAACTTTACTTTTAAAAAAATTGAAATTGCAATATGATGAATTTAAAAGTGGACACATTCCGGGCTCTCTGGCATTATTATGTATTTTTTAAATTTTATGAAAAAACTATAGAAACAAAAAAAAATTATATATAACATAATGGAGTTAATATAGATGAACCATGAGCGAGCACTTCTTAGTTCTTCTGCTCTATAATGTCTTTAACCTCAAAATATGTGGGCTATACTGAGTGTTATATGTCAACAAACAAATATCAGTTAACACTCACAGGTACGTTACTGTACCTACCTTACAGGTACAATAATGTATCTACTTTAATACCATCTCTTTCTGTCTGCATATATATAACTCAGCCATTTGATTATTGTTGCTTGGATTCAAGTAGTTTACTTGTTTAATGATTTATCTTTGACAGTATTATTCTCATTTTGTTTTCATTCTTTTGCCTTTCTCAAAAATAAAATGAAACATGTTGACTCACAAAAACCTGGTTTGTGACTGGAAATTTGATGGTGAGGGACAAAGGTGAATGATTTTGGAGATCTGTGACAGCCAAATTTTGGAGCCT